GAGGGCGTCGTCGTCGTTGCCGGCGGGCGTGGCCAACATCGGTGCCGTCGTTGGCCGTCCCGTAGTCGCCTCGCCTTAGTCGCCATCGCTACTTTCATAATCGCGTCTGCCGTTGTCGGCGTCGCCGTGATGCCGCGCCCGCCCGAGTCGCCGACTCGCGCTGAAGTTCCCGATGGGCAGTGCCCAGCGGTCGGCGCCACCGCCGCCGCGCGCGTCGGTCGCGCCAGACTAGCTGGCCGCGGCGCGCGCGAGCCTGCGCGCTGTGGCACGGTCGCAGCGACGCGCCAGCCAGCGCCAAGCACCAAGCTGTGGGTGGGTGGGCGGGGTGAATGTGCGACCAGTGGCGCTGTTAATTTCAAGTCCTGCAAGGTGGATCGGCGGGCGTATATAGCGGGGCGTTTTTTTGCGCCTCGTGCATTTGCCCAGCCAGGTTGCGCGACGTACGCGGCTAGGAACGCATTCTCTGGTTTCCACCCGGGCTGACTTCGACAATGTTTATACATATGTTCACATGCGCGCGCGAGTGCATTTATACATATATATATATATATGTATATATATATACATATATACACACATGTGTATGTATATGTATGTATGTATGTATGCATGTGTATATATATATATAGAGATGCATAGGTGGGCATATGCATATGCCCACCTATGCAAGCATTATATTCAAGCATCATACACAAGTATCATACACAAGCATTATATATACACGCGTGTGTATATACACAATGCATATGCGTATTTGCGTGTGTATATACACAAGCATTATATATACATGCGCATACATATGCGCGGGCGCTTCGCGGGCGCGCGGGCGCGCGCGCCCCCGCGTGCGAGGCTCGAGGGCCCAGCCTGGGCGCCCTCGCACGTCGCGGGGCCCCTGGCCCCCCCCCGACAGTTTCGACGCTCCGAGATGGCTCGAGAGAGTTCGAACAGCTCTCACTATAGCTTCCAGTGGGCGCTCGGCGCCCCCAGCGCGCCCCCAGGCCGCCCCGCGCGCGCGCGCGCCGAGACCGCCCGCGACGATTTTTTGCGCGGTCGAAGGGCGCCCGCGGAGGCCCGGGAGGTCCAGGACAGATTTTCCAGACATCATCTCTGAACACCCTTCTTGGACCTCCCTCGCGTTGGACAGCGTCGCCAATGCAGAGAAATAGTCAGGCGCGACGAAGTTCAGACGTGCGATGACGTTTTGCGCGGCCATGGCCCGAAGCAGGCGTTGCGCGGAGAATAGGGCCCATGGGGGGGCCCGCGCGGCGCGTGACAGACCGCCCCTGCGCCGGAAGAGCGCCCAGCGCGAAATTTCGAGGCCGGCGCCGGCGCATTGAGGTGCTCGGCGGAGCCAGAGCGCGGAGATCAGAGGCGTATCCAGACAGGCTCTGTCGAGCTGCATTTGAAGGTCTAGTTGATCACATGACGGCAGATCGCAGACGGGGGCTCATTCAGGATGCGCGTCCCCGAGTCCAACTGGATCGACCAGGGGGAAATCGCGAACGCGGTTGAGATCGAGCACGGGCCGGACGCGCGTGGAAATGGGCCCGCGCTGACCCGGGCCAGAGAGGACAGCGGCGCATCGCGTCTCGCGCCTCCAAGGAAATCAACGCCATGATGAAGTGCGCGACTGCGCGGGGTCACTCGATGCTCGGACGTCGGCCAGGCGCTCGAGGGCAGGGAGGTCGGTGAGATGCGCGTGCAGGGGCGGGGGAATTATGCGAAGGCGGATAGTGCAACGCCGCCGTTGAATTCATCTTCCGCGCTACCTATTACATGCAACCTCGCCAATGGATTCGCGGGGCGCGCCGATTCCAGGGGTGGTTTAACTCTCCAGGGGCGTGCCGGGCATGCGGGGGCATTGATGGGGATTGCCCGTTACCAGAGGTGACGTAGGTGTAGTTCATCGCAAAGATGGCTAAGTGCGTGTTTGGGGCGATGCATCTGGGGGGCGCGCTCGATCCACAACTCTCGTTGAGTGTTCGGGGGGAGGAGATGGGGCCATTCAGGATGCACGAGGCCTATGAGAAAGTGAGGCAGGGGGAATGTTGGGCCGTCGCGGGCAAAGCTCCCATTGGTGCGCGTTGGGTTGGTGCCGACGCGGGCGACGAGGCCAATCCCATGTGCAGATTCCGATTCGTGGCCCAGCAAGTCAAGTGCATTCTGCAGTAAAGCATCTATTCGCAGCCACCCTTCTTCTGGAAGCTCAGAAGCAATGATTCCCCGTTGCAGTTGCGGGGGGGATAGGACGTGGCCGAGGGCGGCGCGGGAAAAGGGAGGTTCGTAGATATTGATCTGGCACGTTTTATACAGCATCCAGGCATATCGTTTTCATCGGGTTACCCGAAGAAGATATTTCACCAGGCGTGCTTGGGTGACTATTAGACTAGAGTCGGTGCACGGGATTCGGAAATCCGCCATCCATTTGGAACACCATCGAGCGGATGTTGTACGCGATGCTGGCTTTGGCGACGGGGAAGCGTCGGCATGTGGGTTTGCACGAGCGGCGCGGTAAAGATTGACAACATTTGCGTGGTGCTGGGTTTGTTCGAAGGGTTCGATGTATAAGTGCGGGCGGCACATGTGCCCATATCCAGAGCGTCTTGGACCTTGCGGGGCGGGGCGCCGCAAGGCCGAGGCGCGCTGGACATGGATGACTTGAGCATGTGGGGGTCAGGTTTGCGTCCATATCCAGCGCGCGTCCGGTTTCTGGGGAAGAGACCCCAGAACTCCACGACGCTTGGGATGTGGGTATAACTATTGTCCGCGTTAGCTTTGGGGCAGACTCGGACTAGGACGTAAAGTTGCGAAGCTAATCGTAGCTTCGCACCGATCCGTGGGATGGAACTGGGATGGGTTATGGCACGGGGCGGGTCGATGGCGCGCTGAAATATTCGTCGGAGAGTTATGCCTGGAGCAATGCTATGTGGCGCGAGATGCCGCGTGGAAAGCAGCTTCGCGGAGAAGAGGAGAAGCCCCTGCCAAACCGCGAAGGTAACGCGCACCAAGGGCTAGTGGCTCGAGCCAAAGATTTGGCGCGAGACCGCGCGGACATTCAGTTTTCGGTGAAAGAGCTCGCGCGCTCTATATCAGATCCCACCCGAGGGGTTTGGAAGAGCCTCGCGAAGATGGGCAAGTCCCTCAAGATCCGCGACGAGCGTGGATATCAGCGCGTGCACCAGGAGCGCCCGCAGGAGTTGATAGCGTGGACCGGCTTTGACTTTGCGGGATATCAGAGGGTGCGTAATTCAACGTGCGGAGGATAACGAATGTGAATTTGCATGTGGTAGAGTCATGGAAGTCGACTCAAAGTGTAGTGGCGTTGCCGTCTGGAGAAGCTGCGTACTTTCGAATATTGAAGGGTGGGCCAGTCGACGATCGTTGTGGTGTTGTGGTTTCGTTATCATCTAACAAGCAGTTCTGAAATATATTGCCGTTGATTGTGGTTTCGCGTTGACGAGCGATGTTTGTGCCGCCGATTCTATTGCGAACCGGCGACGATTCGGAACAGTCCGACACATCGAGATTTGTCAATTTGTTTCAATCTATGATACGACGAGGAGTCATCAACGTGATCAGACTATGTGCCCGCGAGAATATTGCAGGCGTTTTGACCACATACGTCAGCAAGGGCGATATGTTTATGCACGTGTTAGGTACCAGCCAACACATTGTTGGCGGACGGCGCGAGTTGGCACCCGCTACGGACTGCTAGCATAGACCATCCCCTTGTCATCATCGCGTGCTGCTTTGGCGTAGTCTTGAGGTCAGGACCAATTAAGAAGCAGGTGCTCGTCTACGCAAACTTCAGGTAATGCTAACCATGCTGCGCGACTTGGTGCTGTCCGGCAGTGAAACATGGCATACGTGTGTTAGGAAGCCCCTCGCGCTTACGCCCCAAATGTTGTCGCCTTCTCCCTGCGCCATTTATGCATAATTAGATGTGTCACGGTGCGCTCTATAGCTATTTCAACCGTTGTAAGTATATGATGTCTTCTTTTTTTTGGCCGCGCCTATATCAGCTTGTTCACTCCTATTTAGTTCGCTTTCTATGTGTTTTGCTCCCGTTGCCTCAAAGTGCCAAATTTGGCCGAGGGTGTGTGTGAGAACATCGCAGTGCGATTGGGATGATGAGTATGTGTTCTACAATTCTATATGGTGGCAGTATAGCTTTACATAGCGATGTGCGCATCAGAAGTCTAGATGATCGTCATGTTTAGTTTTGGGCCCACTCGATGGGGTGATTCATGATTCTCCTCCATCTTGACTTTTGGTTCATGTATTGTTTTCTACTCGGGTAAACGGTTCCTGTCATATTTTCAGGAGTAGAAGCAAGAACGGGGGGAGGACGAGTTCGTGGGCTGGGGCGACGACGGTGATCGGCGGCGGGCTCAGGAGGGAAGTCAGATTGGCTGGTCCATCTCAGGAGGCTCGGACATCCTTTGGCCTTTAAGAAGTTTTCTAAGCTTTCCCCGGAAGCGCAGAAAACTTCTCAGATGACGGGGGGCGTCCGAGAAGCCCCGCCGCCTTCTGAAAAAGCCTTTTCCTTCCTACTTTCCCCCCGGGCGCGCCGCCGAGATGACGACGGCGGCGCCGGCGGCAACGACAGCGACGGCGGCGGCGCCGACCCACCGACCATCCCCGATCTCTCTTCGGGGATGCGGCCGTGGCCGCGAGGGCAAACCCCTAGGTCCGCGGATGCCCCCGGAAACCCCGAGCCTGGGCGCATGGGGCCACGACCCTCGATCGGTCGCCTGGCGACGACGCCGGGCCTTGCCCGGAGACGCCACGGCGCTGCGACGGCAACTACGTCGACGTCGGCAACGACGGCGACGGCGACGACGGCGGCGGCAGCAGTGGCGACGACGGCGGCTGCGGCGATAATGGCGACGATGGCGGCGGCGACGGCGGCAAGGGCAGCGGCGACTATAGCGGACGACGGCGGCGACGGCGGCGACGACGGCGGCGGCGGCGGCGACGACGGCGGTGGGCCCGTCCAGGAGCCACCATGGCGCCGCACACCTTCGGCCCCCCTGGCCTGGAGCGCTGCGCAGGCCGCCCTCACGCCGTGTGCGGGGTGGGGTTGGAGAGGGGTCGTTGCACCCGTTGGCGTCGCAGACGCCGTCGGCGTCGTCGTCCAAGGCGGATGAGGGGGAGGAGGAGGAGGAGCAGGAGGAAGAGGAGGAGGAGGAGGAGGAGGAGGAACTGGAGGAACAGGAGGAAGAGGAGGAAGAGAAGGAGGAGGAGGAGGAGGACGAGGACGAGGACGAGGACGATGAGGAGAAGGATGACGAGGAGGAGGAGGAGGAGGAGGAGCAGGAGGGAGGAAGAGGAGGAGGACAAAACATATGATTAATCACAATCGTATGAATAATCAGAAGTCGAACAACTAAAAAGGATACGAATACTAATACTAATACTAATACCGAAGAATAGTAATACTAGTACGAATCGTAGTAATACTGGTAATCACAATATTGAGGAGAATCAGAAGAAGACGATCAACACTAATACTACTAATCATACAGGTAAAAAGACTATGATCAATCATGCCAATAATAACGCGAATGATAATACTCATACTCTATCAATAAGAATAATCATAATGTTATGAGGAGGAAGAAGAAGAGGAAGAGGAAGAGGAGAGCTGTTTGTAATTATGGGCCGATAGCGGTCGTTATTGGGGGTGGTGTGGGGGGGCGGGACCGGTAATATCACGTTTCGCGCTGGTTCCGTTTGGGCATGCCTGGGAATAGCCAAAAACAGTTCCGATAGCGAATGCCTGTAGGGATGTGCTGCGGATGAACGCGTATACCGTGTATATATATATATATATATATATATATATATATATGGGAATATGCTAGGGCAGAGCGCGTCCTTTCTCCTCCTCGTCCTTCTCCTCCCTCCTCCTCCTCCTCGCTCATCCGTCATCCCTCCTCATTATCCTTCCCGCCGTCGTCGTCCTCGTTCTCCTGCTCCAGTGGCAAACAGAACCCAAAAAACCGGAGCATTGGTGCTTCCTGTTTTTTGTTGTTGCCAAGATGGTGTGTAGACATGCTTCGGCTCGCATGGGCGACAGCTGGGTACAAGTGTGGTCGCACGTCTTTCCTGGGTCTGGCCCTCGCGTGGCCAAGTGCGCCAGCCATCCGCACGTATATCCGGTAGCTGTCCTCCGCATATATTCCGCACATGATGTCAGCCGTATGCGTTCCCAGCCTGCTGGAGTGACATCCCCGATCGTTGTGCGAGCATTCAGAGAAAGATAGTTCGTTGCGCTGTGGGTATGGTTGGGTAGAATTTCATCTAGAAAGAAATCATCCAGCAAAACACATGCAGTTGCCCACGTGTGTCTTATGGGCTCACGGCACTCCCTACGCCCCCAGTGCGCCCCAGCGACGTGGTGAGCACGTTGTTGTGTATCGAAGCATTTTGCAATCCAATACGGGATAATACAGTCAACCCGCATAGGAAGGTTAGGCGACCTTCCCAAGTGTAACCTTGCATCCTTGCCTCCTCGGTCCATCCTTGGCCAGTTTCGTTGGCCGCGCCCCGCTCGAAAAGCTTCGAAACGGTCTTCCAAGGCCCTTGTGCCCTTATCGTGCATCGGTATGATACGGGTCGACTGTATGACGACAAGGGGAGGAGTACGAGGAAGAGGAAGGGGAGGGGGAACGACGACGACGACGAGGGCACTTCCCCCTACGGGCCGCGGAGTGCAGTGCCCAAGCCCGTTTCCAGGGCACGAGCCGACAAGAAGAGTGTTGGACCAAGCAGGTCGTGTCGGGCCGGCCCCGCCTGCCCCGCCCCCTCCCCCATCCTCTCGAGGTCCTCCCTCCTTTCCTCGTCCTCGCGTGATGTACCTGTCAGTGCAAGGAGGGAGATGACGCACATACGAGGAGGGAGAGGAGGAGGAGGCAGAAGAGGGAAGGGAGAGGATAGAGCAGAGCCACCGTATACTCCCAGCTGCCCCCTGCGCCATCCTCTCGATGCCCTCTTTTGTCCTTGCGTGAAGTACCTGACAGTGCAAGGAGGGGGGTGACGAGAGGATGAGTCGGGAGAGGAGGAGGCGGCAGAGGGAAGGGAAATAATAGAGCAACACCGCGCTGTATTCCCAGCGGCCCCCTACGCTACGCTTAGCTATTCGTAGCTATCCATCGCAGGTCTCTACATGTCCATAGCGTGGTGCTCGTTATCTATCGCGGATCCGCGTAGGTTTCTGCAATTCGACGTTTCTTGGGGAAGCGTAGGTATTCCCAGATGGCGCCGGCACGAATCGTGACGTTACACAATGGGGTGGGGGAGGGCTGGGCTGGTGACGACCGCTATCGTAAAGCAAACATGTCGGTCTCTCTCTCTTTCTCTCTCTTTTGTTCTCTCTCCCTCTCTTCCTCTCTCGGAGGATGAGGAGGAGGAGGAGGAAGAGGAACATAAGGGGGAGGAGGGGGAGGAGGAGGCGGAGGAGGAGGAGAACGAGGAGGAGGAAGGAGGAGAACGAGGAGGAGGACGAGGATGACGAGGAGGATGAGTAAAATGTGGAGGAGGATGAGGAGGAATAGGAGGAGGTGAAGGAGGAGGAGGAGGAGGAGGAGGAGGAGGAGGATCAGGAGGATAAGGAGGAGGAGGAGGAGGAGGAGGAGGAGGAGGAAGAGGAGGAGGAGGAGGAGGAAGAGGAGGAGGAAGAGGAGGAGGAGGAGGAGGAGGAGTGTGAACTAATCATGTTTGGAGGACGGGGAGGAACGGAGGAGGTTGAGAGGGAGACAGAGCGGGAAGAGGATGGGGAGGAGGCCTTGGAGTGCTGGGGTTGGAGTGGGTGGAGGGGGGGGGCTTCATCCTACCCTCCTCCTCCTCCTCCTGCTCGATTCGGTCCTCGTGAGCAGATCACGCGACCGACGCTTGGCGTCTCGGACCCCGGACTCGCGTGTTCTGTTTTTCTTTGTTCGTGGTGTCGCGATGTGTGTGTGTGTGTGTGTGTGTGTGTGTGTTCACGACGCCCCACTGTTTTTTCGGGATAGCACCTCCCGCGAGTGGCCCAACTGCGGGAGGTCCCCAGCGGCAGTTCTCTGCGAGCTGCGGGCAGCCTGCGGCGACATCCCGCAATCCCACGCCCGATCACCGGAGGTCGCCAGGGGCCGCCGGGGCTGTGGCTCTGGGGGGCCCTGGCGCCCGCCCGCAACTGCAGCCAATCTTGCGGGAGGGCGCCAGAGGCCGCTCAGCCACGGGAGGTCGCTGTCGGGCCGCTAGGACGGTGGTGCTGGGATCCGATACCGACCTCCCGCAGTTGTCGCAGTCCTAGTCCTAGAGATTGACACCAACACCAAGATCGGCGGTGTGCCTCCACCGAGGGAAGACGATCCCGATCCTCGGTGATGGTGGTGATGTTCTGGCTTCCAAGGTGACCGAAATATTACCACCAACACCGAAATCTAAGATCATCATCTCCCTGTGGAGGCAAACCCCTGTGCCGGTGTTGGTGCCAATTCTAGACGCTTCGCGTATCCCCACCAGCCCGTCCAGAAATGAGTCCCAGGGGAGTGGAGGTTATGAGGGAAGCGGGGGAGCATGCAGAAGAACAAAGGGCGGGGTGAGCCGCCATATACCCCAAGAGGGGGAGGATGTAGGAGGAGCCGTCGTCGTCGGAGTAGGAGGAGGAAGAGGAGGAGCAGGAGGAGGAGCAGGAGGAGGAGGAGGAGGAATAGAAGGAGGAGGAGATGGAGGACTGCGAGGACGAGGAGGACGAGAAGGAGGAAAAGGAGAAGGAGGAGGAGGAGGAGGAGGAGGAGGAGGAGGAGGAGGAGGGGGAGGGGGAGGAGGAGGAGAAAAAAAGAGGAGGAGGAGGAGGAGGAGGACAATTGCGAACTTGGGGGCCTCTTGGGCCGTCCTTGGGGCCTCTTGGCGGTCCCGGGGGCCTCTTGCGTATCTCGGGGAGCCTCTTGTGGCCTCTTGGGGGTCTCTTGGGGGCCTCTTGGAGGCCTCTTGGGGGCCTCTTGGGGCCTCTTGGGGCCCTCTTGGGGCGCTCTTGGGGCGCTCTTGGGAGCCTTCGAGGCGCTCTTGGGGCCATCTTGGAGGAGATCTATCAAAGAAGGGGGGGTCCCCAATTAGCGCTGCCCCTCTAGAGTGCCTCGAGTCGCCTCTTGGGCCCCCCCAAGAGGCCAAAATTCTTCCAAAACCTAGGTAAAATCAATGTTTTTTGTTTTCTCGCCTTTTCGCTCTTGGACCCGTCTTGGGAGCCTCTTGTGGCCTCTTGGGGGTCTCTTGGGGGCCTCTTGGAGGCCTCATAAGGGGGCCTTTTGGGGCCTCTTGGGGCTCTCTTGGGGCGCTCTTGGGGCGCTCTTGGGAGCCTTCGAGGCGCTCTTGGGGCCATCTTGGAGGAGATCTATCAAAGAAGGGGGGTTCCCCAATTAGCGCTGCCCCTCTAGAGTGCCTCGAGTCGCCTCTTGGGCGCCCCAAGAGGCCAAAATCCTTCCAAAACCTAGGTAAAATCAATGTTTGTTGCTTTCTCGCCTTTTCGCTCTTGGAGCCGTCTTGGGTCATCTTGGACTCTCTTGGGGCCTCTTGGGGGTCTCTTGGCAACGTCTTGGAGGCTTCTTGGGGGCCTCTTGGGGTCTCTTGGGGCCCTCTTGAGGCGCTCTTGGGGCGCTCTTGGGAGCCTTCGGGGCGCTCTTTGGGCCATCTTGGAGGAGATCTATCAAAGAAGGGGGGGTTGCTTATTAGCCCCGCCCCTCCAGAGTGCCTCGAGTCGCCTCTTGGGCCCCCCCAAGATGCCAAAATCCTTCCAAAACCTAGGTAAAATCAATGTTTTGTGTTTTCTCGCCTGTTCGCTCTTGGAGCTGTCTTGGGCCATCTTGGACGCTCTGACACCTCGCGACCGGCCCCGTCCAGGTCAGTGGGGAGGGGTAAGGGGAGGGGTAAACCCCTCCCCGAAGGGGAAGAAGGGGGTTGGCAGAGGAAACTCCCTAGACCACCTACGCCCTAAAGGGCTGGTGGGATTTCGAGGCCTCCAAAGTTGGAGCCACTTGCGGGAGTTCGGCATTGGCTCCCAGGGCCAGGCCGCCAACTTCCCGTGCTTGGCCCCAATTGCGGGAGGTCGGCGTTGGGGCTCCCCGAGCCACAGCCCTGGCAGCCTCCTGGCGACCTCCCGTACCTGGTTTCGATCACGGGACGCTGGCATTGGCTGCCAGAACCAAGCTCTTGGCGGCCCCTGGCGACCTCCCACAATTGGACAGTTGGCTCCAGCTGCGGGAGGTCGGCATTGGCTCCCAGGACCAAGCTCCTGGCGGCCCCTGGCGACCTCCCGTACGTGGCTTCAGTTTCTGGAGGTCGGGTCCTAGCGGGCCCTGGCGACCTCCCGTCATTGGCATCCGTTGCGGGAGGTCGGCATTGGCTCCCTGAGCCCGGCGGGCCTTGGTGACCTCCCGTAATCGGCTTCGACTGCGGGAGGTCGGCATGGGCTCCCGCAGCCACGGTCCTGGCGGCCTCTCGGCGACCTCCCGCAATTGGACGTGAAACTGCGGGAGGTCGCTACGGGCTGCTCGCAGCTCGTAGCTCGTAGAGACTGCCTCTTGGGACCGCCCTCGATTGGGTGAATTGCAGGTTGTGCTGTCCGGCGGGATAGCAGGGTCGGCCCCCCCTGGCGGGGACTGCATCAAAGAGAAGGGGCTTCCTTTCGACTCGGCTGCGACGGCTGGGTCGCTTGAGAAGGAGGGCCCAGGGAACAGAGGTAGAGTGGCGGCGGCGACGACGGCGACGACTCAATCGGAAAAGGAGAGCGGCGACGGAGACGACGACGACGACTCGAACAGAAAAAACGTGTCACACACGCCGACAGGGTCGGGGCGGATTATCAACGTGCCTCCTGCCATCGCCGCAAGCCCCCTGCCCTGGGCATCGAGAGGCCGAGGTTGATGCAGGATGATGATTCGTAAATTCCGGGGGGTCGTGAGGGGAGTCAACATCAGAGGGATGCACGTACAACGATGAGTTGACAGGATTTGTAGCTACCACGGGCCGGTAATAGGATATGGGCGAGAAGCAGGTGCAGTTGACGATTGATTGGGTCTTGCAGGAGAAGTTGGCATCCGAAATGAGCGTTAGTGGTAGCATTACGAAGTGTGGTTGGGCTGTGCCAGTTGATGCCGTAAAAGACGTAGTCGGCGTTTCTCGGTTCAGAGTGAATTGTAGCAATTGCTGTAGTGACACGAGATACGTGGGAGTTTATCCAGGAGCCGTAGATGGAGGTTGCCTGTATCTGCAAGAGGAGCCGTACCAGGACATGTGGTAATAAGAGTTGCACCAGGATCTGACTCTGAGACGTGCTGTCAGGAGTTGTACCAGGGCATGAATCCGAACCATATCAGGATTTCAATAGGGGTTCCAATCAAGTTCAGGGCTTCAGTAGGATTCCTCCGCGATTTCAAGAGGTTTCAAATAGGATCCCAGTGAAGTTCCAATTGCATGTTATATTGAAGATTCATGCTGAGCCTATTTCAAACCGTTTCCCTCCATTTGCCATCGTGAGTCGCATACCATATTTGGATTCGTTTCCTCATCTACGTTCAAATCACCGTCATCTCACATTAGCGTACAGATACCTGGGGCAATGCGTTTTTTTTTCAGGCTGCTTGAGGCCATCTGGAAACTTCTCTGCATTTGTTAGGCCCGAGCGTTCAGCATGCTACCTTGATGCCGACGCTTGCACCATGTAGGTCGCTCCTGTCCACGCCCTTCCACATGTTGCTTCCCGTGCCCCGCGCGCGCTCGTTGTGCGCCCTGCCAGGCGGCACCTTCCAGGGCGACGACGTGCTGCTCAGGGTGCCTCGGGGGCCTTGAAAGCGGGGGGGACAAGCCTCGGACGAGGCTCGTCTGCACCAGGGGTACATTACGGCCGGTGCCCTTTGGGCGCGTGCGCGAGCTTGGCCGAAGTGGTGTTCCCGCCCCAGTTGGGTGTTAGAGGCCGGGAGGGGGAGCACGGCCGTGGCTGAGCGACGATCATCCCGCAGCCTCCGAGGCCCCACGGAAACCACTCCCCGTGTGTCAGGGCGTGAACTCTCTGGGGTCGGTCCTCATTTCTCCTCCCTCCTCCGCGGCCGCCCTCGAGGGGGGCCCCACCACTCGGGGGGCGTCGAATGACTTCGGACGCAACTCCTGGGAGGTCAAATTCTGACTTTGCCCTGGTCCGAAGTCTGGCTTAATCCGGCCTGATCCCGTTTAACCCGGTTTAATCTTAGGTTGTTCCAATCGGATTTGAGGACCACATCCCAGAAATGATTTCGAGCACCCAGAAAAGTGTCGAAACAGTGTCGAGCGAGTGTCGCCTCCCAGGGCCCGACACGTGAAAATCCTCAAGTGTCGGTGCTTCCTTGGTGCTCGAAATTCTTTCTGGTGATCAAGGCTAAAGTAGATCTGAAGCATCATAAGTTTAATCCCGCTGAATCCCGACCTCCCGGTGATTGCCTGACTGACCACGCCCCAAGCCCCGGCCAGGCCGATCCGGGGGCCAGGATCGCAGGCCTAGAGGTTGACACCAGCACCAGTGTCGGCGGGGTGTGCCTCCGCCGGAGGGAAGAGGAGCCTGACCTCGGTGATAGTGGTAGTAGTTATGGCTCCCAAGGTGGCCGAACTCTTGCCACCGACGCCGAGATCTGGGATCACCTCCCCCCTGTGGAGGCAGCCCGCGAAGGGCCCAAGGACACACAACAAAATACACACTAATAACAGGACTCCCCATACTTACTTCCCCATAGTTCCCGTGTTTTTGCCTTCCCGCCCAGTTCCCATATGTTCCCATATTTTCTTGGGGATCGACGATTCATTGTGTCTGTGTTTTTTTTCCCCTCCTGAAGCCCCTTGTGTTGGTGCTGGTGCCCCTCTCCAGGCCTCCCACGGGAACTCTGCAGGTGCCTCCCTGGCTCCGCCGGGAGTGCGTATACGTACGGACCGGCCGTGGGCCGGGAGCTTGGGCCCGGCCCTGCTCGTCGAGGGGCGGGCACATGGCGTCCCCCGAGCCCTGGCAGAAGCCGCCGAAGAGGGGGAAGAGGGGGAGGAGGGGGAGGGGGAGGAGGGGGAGGAGGATGGGGGAGGAGGATGGGGAGGAGGGAGGAGGAGGAGGAAGGAGGAGGAGGAGGAGGAGGAGGAGGGAGGAGGAGGTGAAGAAGGAGGTAATGAACGAGGATTAGGGGAGGTGGAGGAGGAGGAGGAGGAGGAGGAGGAGGAGGAGGAGGAGGAGAGAGAGGGAGGAGGAGGAGGAGGAGGAGGAGGAGGGGGAGGGGGAGGGGGAGGGGGAGGGGGACAAGCTAGGTGCGCTCGCGTCATATCTGACATCCTACCCCTCCCTCCCATCCCTTACCATGGCGCAGATCCCCTCTCTACTCGCTCAGTCGGATGTCGAGCAGGGCAATGATCCCGAAAGGGTACGCGATGCATTGTAGAGCACGGCATGGCATGGCGTAGAAGAGCACCGCAAAGCGTAGTATCAACCTAGCATTGCATTGCATGCCGTGGCATGGCACGGGAAATGACGCCAGCGCTGCAGCGGGAGCACGAGTCGAAACGAGCGGAAGCGCGGAAATGAGGCCAGCGCTGCAGCGGGAGCACGATTCGGAACGAGCGGAAGCACGGAAATGAGGCCAGCGCTGCAGCGGGAGCACGATTCGGAACGAGCGGGGCCCGATGAGGCCGGCGAGCGAGAGCAGCATTTTTGAAACCTCTGGTAGCGGCGCTCAGGCCAGTATTTTATTGTAATTATTTTGAAAAAAAATGCAGTACCGCGCGGGGGGGGTCGGCCACTTTCAAACCGTCATCAGGGGAAGAGGGAGAGTAGTATTCATATTGAGTAATTGTGGAGGAGGGAGGAGGAGAGGAGGAGGAGGAGGAGGAGGAGGAGGAGGAGGGGGAGGGGGGGGGAGGGAGTGGGAGGAGGGGAGGGGGGAGGAGGAGGGGAGGAGGAGGAGGAGGAGGAGGAGGAGGAGGAGGAGGAGGGGGGGGGGGAGGGGGAGGAGGAGGAGGGGGAGGGGGAGGGGGAGGAGGAGGGGGAGGAGGCGGAGGAGGGGGGGGGGGGAGGGGGAGGAGGAGGAGGGGGGAGAGGAGGAGGGAGAGGGGAGGAGGAGGAGGAGGAGGAGGAGGAGGGGGAGGAGGAGGAGGAGGAGGAGGGGGGAGGAGGAGGAGGATGGGGGAGGAGGAGGAGGAGGAGGAGGAGGAGGAGGAGGAGGAGGAGGAGGAGGAGGAGGAGACGGGGGTCCAACCGCAGAGCGGACCCATCGCATCACTAGTGCCACCCCCAACATCCAGACTAGGTGTCAAGACTCAGGGCTGGACTACCAATCAAAGAGATGTAACGATGGCATACGAAATACGTTGCGGACAATCATTGACACTTCGCATATCCCCACCAGCCCATCCAGACATGATGCCCCTGATAACTGCTTTGGTGAGGAGGTTGTTGAAGGAGTGGATGAGGATGAGGAGTCGAACACGGAGGAGCAGGAGGAGGAATCTGATCAGGCGAAGGAAGCGGACCACTTCAAACCCAAGGCTCATAAATGGTATTGCAATAAGCCCTCCTTCAAGTTCTTTCTTCATGGGCCCCTACGAGGATCCATCTTCACTGGAGGAAGTGCTCCGTTGGAAAACAACTGTTTGAATCTCCCGAACTGCGCCAGAACATCATTCCCGGGAATTCAACGCCGCGATTCACCTTTACTGCTGCGTCTTGACGATACGGAATCGTGCCAGAACAGCATTCCTGGAACTTGAACACCGCGAATCAACGTAACTGTTGCGCCCTGACAGTCCGACATCGTGCTAAATCACAATTCCTGGGACGTTAGCCATGATAATCCTTGGACCTGTTGTCAACTTATGTGCGCGGCGATAAGGCGAGCCAGCTTTTGAAAAGGAACCGCCCTCCATCCGTGAAAGTTTGTGCAAAGGTTGAATACGACTGCGCGCGGCGCTAAGTCGAGAACCACATTTTGAAAACCACCTGCCCTCCATCCGTGAAGCTCTTGATTGTTTCCCAACCCTCTTGCGTTGGGTTCTCGTTTTGAATAGAGTACTGCTCGCGCGAACCTTCCTTCCTTCCCGTCCCTCTCTTCCCCCCTGCCTTTGACCTCGCCATCCCTGGGGGGCTGCGATCTGTGAAACTGTCGCCACTTTTGAGGGCTGCTGGGGGGGCCAGCACAGTGGGTACCCACCGCAGACTCAACTTAGACCTCGCCATCCCTGGGGGGCTGCGATCTGTGAAACTGTCGCCACATTCGAGGGCTGCTGGGGGGCCCAGCACAGTGGGTACCCACCGCTGACTCAAATTAGACCTCGCCATCCCTGGGGGGCTGCGATCTGTGAAACTGTCGCCACTTTCGAGGGCTGCTGGGGGGCCCAGCACAGTGGGTACCCACCGCCACCGCGGGCTCAAATTAGACCTCGCCATCCCTGGGGGGCTGCGATCTGTGAAACTGTCGCCACTTTCGAGGGCTGCTGGGGGCCCAGCAAGTGGGGTACCCACCGCGGACTCAAATTAGACCTCGCCATCCCTGGGGGGCTGCGATCTGTGAAACTGTCGCCACTTTCGAAGCACTGGGTCAGGACCTCGCCATCCCTCTGTGAAACTGTCGCACTTTCGAGGCTGCTGGGGGGGCCCAGCACAGTGGGTACCCACCGCGGACTCAAATTAGACCTCGCCATCCCTGGGGGGCTGCGATCTGTGAAACTGTCGCCACTTTCGAGGCCTGCTGGGGGGCCCAGCACAGTGGGTACCACGCGGACTCAAATTAGACCTCGCCATCCCTGGGGGGCTGCGATCTGTGAAACTGTCGCCACTTTCGAGGCCTGCTGGGGGGCCCAGCACAGTGGGTACCACCGCGGATTCAAATTAGACCTCGCCATCCCTGGGGGGCTGCGATCTGTGAAACTGTCGCCACTTTCGAGGCCTGCTGGGGGGCCCAGCACAGTGGGTACCCACCGCGGACTCAAATTAGACCTCGCCATCCCTGAGGGGGCTGCGATCTGTGAAACTGTCGCCACGAGGCCTGCTGGGGGGGCCCAGCACAGTGGGTACCCACCGCAGGCTCAAATTCGACCTCGCCATCCCTGGGGGGGGCTGCGATCTGTGGAACTGTCGCCACTTTCGAGGGCTGCTGGGGGGGGGGCCAGCGCAGTGGGTACCCACCGCAGACTCAAATTAGACCTCGCCATCCCTGGGGGGCTGCGATCTGTGAAACTGTCGCCACTTTCGAGGGCTGCTGAGGGGCACAGCGCAGTGGGTACGCACCGCAGACTCAAATTAGACCTCGCCATTCCTGGGGGGCTGCGATCTGTGAAACTGTCGCCACTTTCGAGGGCTGCTGAGGGGCCCAGCACAGTGGGTACCCACCGCAGACTCAAATTCGACGCCGCTTTCGTCCTTGTTCTCCTCCTGCAGTCACCTTCCCTCTGCTGCTGCCGTGCTGATGGTTCGGCTTCCCGCACGTTTTTGTCCTGCTCTGCGTTCCCGACTCCCCATGACCTCTTCGAGCCTGTAGCTGTCGCCCCTCGTTCTTGCATGGTTCTCCTGCGCATCATGCCACAGGCGCGTGTCCCAAGTAGCTTACACATCAAGTTGATTGTCCATGCAAGTTTTTACCAACTCCTCGTTTCCATTGATACAAATGGGTTGGGTACGTCACAGGGTAATTTCAAATGGCTGCGCGCGGCGATTAGGCGATAGCCACATTTTGAAAATGGCCCGCCCTTCCGACGTGCCTCGGGGTGCGACAGGGAGGAGTTAGTTATAAAAATAGGAATGCTGGAAGAAGAGGGCGGGGAAAGGACGAGGAGGAGGAGGAGGAAGATGTGGAGGAGGTCCTCGTGAATCGTTTCCTGTGGGTGCATGTTTGCGGACTATTGCGCTAGCCTGCGGTCTTCTTGGGGCCCGCTTAGGGGGTCTTATTGGGATTGTCTCTGGGCCTTCTCGAGGCTGGTTTGGAGGGTCTGGGAGCCTCTTGGGGCTCTTTCGGGCGTCTTGGGGCCTTCTTGCGGCGCTCTTGGGCACCATGGCTCGCAGGGGGCGGGGGTGGGTCTGGTCGTTCTTCGGACCGCTTGGGGGTGCTCTTGGGAGCATCCTTGGGGCCGCCTTGGGGCCCTGTTTCGGCTCCTCTTGGGGCACTGGAGCCATCTCTGAAGGCCGCAGAGGCCCATCGGAGGCGAAGAGGCGAGAGGGCAGCAGTCGCTGATTCCCACCAAGAGCGCTTCTGGCCGTCTGCCGCTGGTCGCCGTGGCCTTTCGATGGTCTGTGTACGATCGGTGGCTACATTGAAGACTCGCGGGGGCCACCTTGAAACAACCTCGGGCCCAAAACAGGGCCGTCTGACACTTCGCGACGGGGCCCTCCGCGACTAGGGGAAGACGAGGTTGCCGGATGAGAGAAGAAGTGTTAACCAGCGTGGACCCCAGACAGTGAGTTCATGCAACCTGCGCGGTGCAAGGTGGTACAGCAAACATGGCGCAATCGACGCGGTGCAAAATAGGTGGTACAATGTGGTACAAAGCGATGCACAGCCATGCAACGCGATGAGACAGAGTGCCACGAAAGCGACATAATGCAAAGTGCGGAACAACGCGACGCAATCCAAGATGAAGCGATGCAACGTCAGGCGACGCAAATCAATCCAAAATAATGCAGCAACGCAACGCAGCGTAACGCACAGCAATGCAAAGCAACCAACCGCAACGCAAAGCAATGCAAACCAACGCATACCATGTAACACATTGCAATGCACAACAATGCAGCGCACTATATATATATATATATATATATATATATTTATATATTTATATATAGATATATGTATAGATATCTCAATGCAGAATAATGCGAAGCCATCTAAAGCATTGCGAACCAATGCAACGCAATGCGAATCACTTACAAAGCAAAGCAGCGTAACTCGCAGCAGCGACGAGGCAGCGACGGGGCGGCGACGGTGACAACATAGCCGCCAGACTTGCAGTCACCCCCAGAAGACGGGCGGCGACGGGGCGGCGACGGCGACAACATAGCCGCCATATCGACAATCAGGCCCAGACGACGGGCGGCGACGAGGCGGCGACGGCGACAACATGGCCGCCAGACCGACAATGAGGCCATTTCCTCAGCAGAAGCAATAACCCCTGAGTGCAAGCACCGTGGGTAGGGAGTCGTTCTGCCGCCTGCGCCTGGATTGCTGGTGGGACTGTGGATGTGACGACATGCTCGGGGGCGGCCAAGAGGGGGGTAATAACTAGGGGTGGTGGTGGATCGGAGGTTGGGGGGTGAGATCGCAGTGAAACGGAGACCCCCCACCGGGAAATCTGTTTCGGTTTTGTGTTCGTGTCGTGCGTGCGGGCGAGGCGAAGCTGCGCGTGATCTTCCTGTAGCTAGGCCGAAGTAGGAGCGAAAGTCCGTTCCCCAGCAGCCGGTGGCTGGTTGGGCCGGGCGGTGTGTCAGTAGGAGCGAAAGTCCGTTTCCCGTCCGCCGGTGGCCGGGAGGTGTCCCAGTTGGGCCAGGCGGTGTCCCGGGTGTCCCGGGTGTCCCAGGCGTCTTGGCGCTAACGCATGTCGCGAATTTCATAATTCATTTTTTTCGGCGCCTGCGGCGGGCTTTCGTATCCGATCCAGCTTGTCATATCCAATCCATCTTGTCCAATCCAATCCATCTTATCTTATCCAACCCATCTTGTCCCATCTTATCTTATCCCACCCAATCCAATCCACCCAATCCAATCCATCAATTCATTTGTTTCTGCGCCTGCGGCGGGCCAATCCAGTCCATCTTACCTTGTTCAATCCATCTCTTCCAATTCAACTTATCTTATCCAATCCATCTCATCCCATCCAAGCCAATCTACCCAACCCAATCCATCAATTCATTTTTGTCGGCGCCTGGGCGCGATCGCGGCAGACTGCGAGGCTTGAGGTGAGATTAAGGTGACAGGCTGGAGGTCAGTCAGGGTGGGCATTTTTGTATCTCTAAATCCCCCCCAAACCTCCTTATCGCCCGCAGGGCGGTCGTATAGGTATCGTGGCGTGGGCCACGATATGTCGTCGGATGTCATGGTGCCTCTTCTTATTTCCTTGCGTCCCTGGCCCCCCCCCCTCCCTGGGCCGCGCGCCGCTGGCCATGATGTGCGCCCTCCCCCCTCTTGGCCGCCACCCTCTTGGCCCACCCGGACAGGCGTGCCGCGGCTGTCTTCAATATCGCTTCAGCGAGCACCACAGTCAGCATGGCGCCGGAAGGAAATTCGAAGACCCACTTTCAATAGGCAGAGCAGAGATCGGCAGGTTTTCCGCTGGCGCCACAATCTTCGCATCCATGCCAGTCCGCCAACATGTGGATCATTTCAAGCACGCATCTTTTCAATTGGTAACTGTCGCGGTGGGAAAGCATCGGCGATGCGGTTCGATGCGGAGCCCGATTTTCTCCCCGCCGACGTCGCGGATGTATCGCCGACCTGAGCAGTGCGTGGCCGACGCATCGCCGCCGCATCGCCGATGTGTCGGCGATGCGGCGCGATCCTCCGACCCCATCTACTCCAACCCCGTCTGGGGGGCCTCTAGTGTTGGCACGAAGCTGGTCCAGAGCTCGCGCCGCATCGCACGTGAGCGGGCCGCGCCCCTGGCGTTATGTCGGGCCTGTCCCCCTGCAGGGGGGTTTTCGACGAAAAATAAAAATACCCCAAAAATGCAACCAAAAGGTAAAAAAACATGCGAAGAATAGTCCCCAGACTATTTTTGGATTTTTTTGCTGATTATTTTTTATCCGTATTTTTTTCCGTCGAATATCCCCCTGTAGGGGGACAGGCCCGACTTCACCCTGGCGCATGAAGCTTCTGGGGCCCCACTGGCGCCGCAGCCGCAGCCCCCCCTTCCCCGGGCGGTGTGCGCCCGTGCGCGAGGGAGGGCTCTCCGCCTGCCGTGCCGGTGTTTGGGCACCGCCCTCGGCGCCGCGGCGCAGCCTGCTCGCGCAGGGGACGGACGACAGAACCGATGCGCCCCAGCATTGGTTCTCGTTTCTGGACGCCCGAAATGGTCGGGCCGGACGAAAGGGGGAGATATTGGGAAAGGGGGATTACGGAATTTGCTGCATGCAGCTGGTTTCGGCCCCACCGAGGGGCCCATTCCTCGATACATTGTCGCCTCCGGCGCCAGGAGGCGCCGGGAAAATCAGCTACGTGAGCTGATTCTCAAAACCCCCCTTTGCTATCCCCCCCCTTTCGCCCGACCCTAAATGGGTACGGAAAGAATGGGTACGATGCCCAACAGCAGTTCCTGTTCATTTTGAACAGGACTCGCTGTCCACGCCGCCGGGGCCTGTGTCCATTCGAGACAGAAAGCCGCCTGCCCAACAGCGGCCGCTGTTGGTTTGGGACAACAGTTGTTGTTGGACGACAGAATCGATTCAGAGGTTGATAGACCTCCTTCCCTGACACGTCGATTAAGGAATCGGCCGTTTTCGGTTCGCGGGAGGGTGTGGCGGCCGTCATTTTTGCGGGTCCGGCTCCGTCGGTTTCGGTCCTAGGCCGTTTTCACTAAAGGGAGGTTTGCTAAAGGGAGGTTTGTCCACCGCCGGTCGATGCGCCCCAGCATTGGTTCTCGTTCGTCGATAGCCAAGCGCGTTCCACTACTCGCAGAGTCGCTGCTCGCAAATGGCCCGGATCCGCCGCAGGGAGTGTACGATGCAGTACATGAAGGCAGACCATGTTTGTTTCGGACGTTTGCGAGTAGGCACCTTGCGAGTAGTGGGACGCGCTCGGCGACTCGAAGCTACGGACAATGCGCAGATCGACCCGCAGATCTACGAACACGCTACGTGTTTTTTCCGCAACGTCGGCGCGAATCTCGATGCTGAGGCGAATCGGTGCTACAGTCGATCGACTCCTCCAAGCAGGCCAGTTCGCAACGACATCTGAGGTATCTCTTTCACACGCTGTCTTCGCTCTGGCCTCGCCCCAGCCCGAGACGAAGCCAAAACGAAGGACGGCGTGGGATCCGCGGAGCGCTCGCTCTCTTGGGAGATCGGATCTTACATTCGCGGGGAGATGTTCTGAAGATTCCAGTGCGGTCGCTTTAGGGCCCCCCCATTTGCCCCCATTGATCGCCCCCCATTAAGCGTTGCCCAAGCCTTTGCTTTACAGTCGGGGCGCTGAAGAAGGAACCCTTTCCGTTGGGGAGGGGCTCCGTGTTCCTTGACTGTTTCACAGTTTGTCTTAGGTTTTCCTCGGGTTTTCGATGGGAATTCCAAGCTGCATTTCTGGGAAAAGGGGGCCTCGCTCCTTATTCAGGGTTCCTTAAGTCAACGCTCCGACGGTCATCGACCCAGTCTGAGCCACAGGTCAAGAGCTCCATTCTCCGCGGGACGCACACGCAGAGCGCGCCGCTGCCGGTGCCGTGTGGGCCCCTGCTGCCCCCGGGCTTCGAGGACACCCCGCTGCCCCCGGGCCTGGAGGACACGGACTGCAGCGCGGCTGCGGAAGATGAAGGCCGACACCCCCCCCGTCTCAGGGAGGAGGAGGATGAGGATGAGGAGGAGGAGGAGGAGGAGGAGGAGGAGGAGGAGGCGGAGGAGGAGGAGGAGGAGGAGGAGGAAGCGAGCGGAGCGTGGCAGGAAGCAGGGCTCATTTCGACTCCTCCGATCCGACTCGGTTCGGTTCTGATGGCTTCCGATTCCGGCTCGATTCGGGACTCCAATTTGGGCTCCGATTGCTCGACGGAGGCCTGCAGACCTGCCGACTTCCGTGGATTCGACTTCTCCCGACTCGGCTGCCGATTTCCGCCGATCGATTCACTTCGATCGCTGATCCGACTCATCGACCCGATGTTTGGCTCTCCTGGGGAGGCGAGCGGGGCGTGACGGGGAAGGCTCGAGAGTCGCGGTGTTTTGGGCGTCTTGCCTCTGCGGGGCCCGCTTGGCTCTGGAGGCCCCCTGGGGAGGAGGGAGGACCACGAGCCCTCCCTTCTCTTCCAACGTCTTCCTCCTCCGCCTCCCCCTCCTCCCCCTCTTCCTCCATTCCTCCCTTCCTCTTCTTCCTCCTCCTCCTCCTCCTCCTCTTCCATTCCTCCATTCCTCCTCCATTCCTCCTCCTCCTCATCCTCCTGCTCCTCCTCCTCCTCCTCCCTTCCTCTTCTCCCCCGAAACGCACGAAATGGGCACGGAAAGACCTGAGGTTGATAGACCTCCTACCCTGAGGTTGATAGACCTCCTCCTCGATTCAGAATCGATTCAGAGGTTTCGGTCATAGGCCGTTTTCACTAAAGCGAGGTTTGCGAAAGGGAGGCTTGTCCACCGCCAGTCGATGCGCCCCAGCATTGGTTCTCGTTTCTGGACGCCCGAAATGGGCACGGAAAGAATGGGTACAATGCCCAACGGCAGTTCCTGTTCATTTTGAACAGGATTTGCCGCCCACGCCGCCGCGGCCTGTGTCCATTCGAGACAGGTGGCCGCCTGCCCAACAGCGGCCGCTGTTGGTGTGGGACAACATTTGTTGTTGGGCATTGTACCCATTTTTTCCGTACCCATTTCGGGCATTCAAAGGGGCGGGTGCCCTGATTACAGCGGGGACCCATGCCAAGAAACGCCCTGCTTGCCTCCAGGGTGCCCTGGGTGTCTTGGGTTTCGATGGCTCTGCGGTGGGAGGCGTGGCGCTCCCACACCAGAGATCCGTGGAAGTGCCGGGGCCTCGGGCTTGGGCTTCTCGTGGACGGCTTCTCGTGGTCGAGCCCCTGCTGCAGTGCTCTTCGTGCTCGTTGGACCTTCTCGCCGCAGGGTCTCTCGTGGGCACGAGCGACGTCCTTCTGGCCCAGGCCAGACGGTGCAGCGGCCCCCCACCCCCCGACGGGTGCGAGGCGCCGCTCTCCGGCGCCCGCCCTGCCTCCCTCGGGAGAGCGCGGCGCGAGGACCACTGAGGAGCGTCCTGGCTCATCTTCGAAGAATCAGCGCGCGACGTCGAGCAATACTTCTCCGTCGGCGGCGAGGCAGAGGAGGCGATCCGCACCAGCCTGGGGCTGACCAGGGGCACCGAGAGGCAAATGGCCCGGCGTGGACATCGAAAAAGGTACACGGGAAGTGGACGTCCGAGCGATGGCAAGCCTGGAGCCGAGACCCTCCTGCAGCGGGCCTGAGCGTGGGAGCGGACCGGGAGGCCGAGATGGCCCAGCACCGGCTCTGGCCCGCAGAGAAGGGAGGCTCGCCACGGCCTGGCGCGGCTCGAAAAGCTTATCGGTTTCGACCATGGAAGGGGTCTTAGGACTCATTTTGCAAGCACTTGCCATCTTTCCCTCCGCTTAACCAATCTCTTCTGGGCTTGTCCAGCTCATACCCCCCAGCCGCCTGCAACCTGATAGAGCAATATGAGGCCGTTCGGTGCCCAAGGACCCCAGAACTCCGATTTTGTTTTTCTTCAGAGCGTGGACCCCCCAGAGGTCTGGACCTCTTCCCCGCGACGGGCTTCTGGTCCTGACAAGTTTTTGGCCAGAATGTTTCCTGGGTAGGGACCCCCGGAGGTCGAACATTGGCAAGCAACATTATCCGCTGTGCTTTTTGCAGTCGAGGAGGTATGGAACATCCAACTCTTGGCGACGCGCACACGGCGTCGGCCCGCAGGGGCGGCCTCCTAAGAAGGCGGGATGCTCTGAAGAAGGATCCTTGGAAGCCATCGCCGGCTTCCATGAAGCCTTCTGAGAGGCCTCGAGGCCCTTCCAGGAGGCCCCCCTTTGAAGGAGGCCCCCCCGCCCTCTTAGCACGGCCCACCCCCTCGCGCTACCCTGCTTGTCCGCCAGGCCAGAGACTCGATGTCTCGATCTCTTCTATCGGGGCTCCTCGGTTGTCCCCACCCTTTGGCCAGGGCGGGCTGTCCCACCTGGGTCGATGTTGGACGGTCCCAGGGCCAGCCGGCGAGGGTGCAGGCGGCCGAGATCTGACGGCGCGAGAAGCACGCAAGGTCGTTGGAAATCCGTCTTTGGTTCTCAGACCCGATCTTCTTTCTACGTTTTTTTTTTTTTAGCTGGAGCGCTCCGTGAAGGCCCTCGGGCCCGAAGCTCGGCCAAGACGCCCCGCGTGAATACTCCAGACGCCCAGATCTCGGGATTCTCAGGCATCCGATCCGACGTTGTGCGTGTTCACAACCGTAGCTCCCCCATGGTCTGGGCCCCTCGTCGGCGTCATCATCGCCTCTGTCGCCGTCTTCGTTGGCGACGCGGCCGTCACTATCGCCACCACCTACTTCGCGACCTGCAGGACGTACTTGTCTGCGCGGTTGGATGATTCGCGCCGGTGCGCTCGTTGAGAACATGATCAGATGCAGTCTGCGAACAAGGTGAGGGTGGTAGGGTGGGCGTTTCTCTTAAACGAGCAGTAGGGTGGCCATTTCAGTTTATTAATCGCTTCGCTCATTCCGCCGGCCCATATTGTCGCACCGTTGTGGGCTAGCCGAGTTTGGGGGCCTCTTGGGGGCCGTTTTGGGGCCGTTTTGGGGCCTCTTTTGGGCCTCTTGGGCGCCTCTTGGGGCGTCTTGGGGGCCTCTTGGGGGCCTCTTGGGGCCTTTTTGGGGCCTCCTGGGCGCCTTCTGGGGCGGAGGGCTCGATTTTTCAGTTCTCGGTTCCCCTCTTGAGCCCCTCTTGGGCCCGTCTTGGGGCCTCTTGGTCCGTCTTGGGCGGCACTTGGGCCGTCTTGGGGGCCCTCTTGGGCCGTTTCGGGGCCGTCTTGGGAGCTTCGTGGGCCGTCTTGGAGCGATCTTGGGCGCCTCTTGGGTCGTCTTGGAGCGTCCGGAAGCCGAAAAAGCCAGAACGCAAAAAACATCGGAAAAACCAATGAAAATCAACGATTTTGGCCTCTTGGGGCCCTCTTCGGAGGCCTCTTGGAAGGCTCTTGGGGCGTCTTGAAGGCCTCTTCGGCTGTCTTGGGGGTCTCTTGGGCCGTCTTGGGGTCATCTTCGGCGCCTTGGAGCGCTCTTTGAACGTCTCGGGGGCCTCTTGAGCAATCTTGGGGGCCTCTTGGGGCACTCTTGGCGCGCTCAGGGCGGCCTGAGAGGCCGCACCCAGAAGGAAAACCATCTCTGAGTTGAACCGGGCGGGACCTTGCCAGGCGGCGGGCGGGGTACTTTTCGCCGGGGGACCCCCAGGGGCCGCCCCGCGCGCGCGAACTAGTACAATATACAATTGTTAACCAGTTACCGGAGATCTTAGCACGCCTCTGGCCCGTTGGGCCGGCGAATTGTTCAGTAATTGCGCCACGCAGGCTTGGCCACGTAGGGTATGCCACGCAGATTTTTTGCAGGACTGGCAAAACTCTGCACTTGTATATATCATGTTCCATTTCACACAACAGCTGTACAACGTCGGGCAGAACTAGTAAACCTATCTATGTCATATAGGTGTACCGCCACACGCATACTAACATACATCCATGCATGTAGAAATTTATTGGTTGCACTGCACACAGACTGCACCACACACATTGCACATCAGACACGCAGTGACCCACTGTTCAGGGTCTGTGCTGGAGAAAATTGTTATGTTTCTCTAAGTGCCTCCTGCCACCACTGCAAGCCCCCCTGCCCCAGGTATCGAGAAGCCGAGGTTGACGTGGATGCTCCTTGCGCAACACGAAACATTTCCACGCTGCTTGGAGCCAGCTGGGAACGTCTCTGCGCTTGGTAGGTATGAGCGCTCAGCATGCTTCCTTGATGTTGATGCTTGCATTGAGTAGGTCAACCAGTGACAGCGACAAACTTCCACTCGTTGCTTCTGACGCTAGTGGGCGCACGCTCTCTCTGCGTGCCCTGCCAGGCGGCACCTTCCAGGGCGACGACGTGCTGTTCAGGGTGCCTGGGGCCTCGAAGGGGTTGGGATCAGCCTCGGACGATCTTTGTTTCTGCCAGGCAGGGCCGCCTACGATCCGATTCGATGCAATCCGATCCGCTGGCCGGGGCTGCGATTCCGATTCGGTTTGCTTTGGGCCCACTCACCTGCGTCGGCTGGGGCCGGCCAGGGCCAGGCGCGGCGCTCCGGTTTCGATTCGATTCGGGACGATTCGTTGGCGATCCGACCCGTTGCCTATCCGATTCGATTTCGCCCGGTGCATTGTTGGCGGGTGCATTTCGGGAGCCTTGAGACGGGGGTCAATGCAAACGGGGGTCAGCCAGGGCACCAGATCCTGAATGATCCTGCGAAGACCCCATCTGGCTGACCCGGGTTAGCGAGCCGCTCGTTGCCGCGAGGCGGCCGCTCCTATTGGCTGACCCGCGTTTGCGAAGACCTGCGTTGCAGTTTTTTTTCTGGCATTGCAGTTTTTGGTTTCCTGCTGACCCGGGTCTGACTTGACCCGGGTCAGAAGATCCCCGAGTAGTTTTGTCGGGTGCATTGTGGGATCGATTTCGATCCGTTCCATTATGCCTGGTGCATTGTTGGCGGGTGCGCGAGCTCGGGATGGGGCGGACGGCCGCGGTTGAGCGACGCGCATTCAGCAACTTCCGAAGCCCCCCTCGAGATGGAATCGGTACCCGAACGGTCTGCGCACTGGCGCTCTGGGCAACGACGGTTGCCCCAGACGGTGAATGTAGTGGGAATGATAGTGTTCGTGGTCGTGGTAGTGCTGGTGCTGAGACTCAGCCGAGGCCTCGCAGCTCCCTGGGGCGCTACGAACTGCGCAGCTGCCGCTACTCTTCGTGGGCTCCTGGGAGGCACGGCGGAGTCGGGGAGTAGACAGAGCCAGCCGAGACCTCGTTGCTCCCTGGGTGGCTGCGAACTGCGCAACCGTCGCCACTTTCGTGGGCTCCTGGGAGGTCCAGCGGAGTCGGGAGACACGCAGATCCATTTGAGACCTCGCAGCTCCCTGGGTGGCAGCGAACCGCGCAGCTGGTGCCACTGTCGTGGGCTCCTGGGAGGTTCAGCGGAGTCGGGGAATAAACGGTTTAGCCGAGACCTCGCAGCTCCTGGCGCTACTTTCGTTCGTGGGCTCCTGGGAGTAAACGGATTCAGCCGGGACTTCGCGGCTCCCTTGGAGGCTACGAAGTGTGGAATTGTCGCCACTTTCGAAGGCTCGTGGGAGGCACGGCGGAGTCGTGGAATTATCGGATCCAGTCGAGACTTCGCAGCTGCCTTGGTGGTTGCGAATTGCGCGAATGTCGCCACTTTCGTGGGCTCCTGGTAGGCACGGCGGAGTCTGGGATTATGCGCTCCCAGCCGAAATCTCGCAGCACCCTTGGCGGTCGCGAATTGGGCAATTGTCGCTACTTTCGTGGGCTCCTGGGAGGCATGGCGGAGTAGCAGAGAACGCGGACCCAGCAGAGACCTCGCTGCTCCCTGGGAGGTTGCGAATTGCGCAATTGTCGCCAGTTTCGTGGGCTCCTGGAGGTCCAGCGGAGTCGGGGGACACGCAGCTCCATTTGAGACCTCGCTGGGTGGCAGCGAACTGCGCAGCTGGTGCCACTGTCGTGGGCCCCTGGGAGGTCCAGCGGAGTCCAGGGCCACGCGCACCCAGACGAGACCTGGCTGCTCCCTTGGCTGCGACCTGCGCAACTGTCGCAACCTTCGTGATCTTCTGGGAGGTCCAAGGGAGTTGGGGGCCACGCGTACCCAGACGAGACCTCGCTGCTCTTTGGGGCTGCGAACTGCGCAACTGTCACTACTTTGTGGGCTCCGGAGAGGTCTGGCGGAGTCGGGGGCTACGCGCACCAATTTGAGACCTCGCTGCTCCTTGGACTACTGCGAACTACGCACAAGTCGCTACTTTCGTTGGTTCCTGGGAGGTCCAACGGATCCGGGGGCCACGCGGATCCAGCCGAGACCTCGCGGCTTCCCGGGAGGTTACGAAGTGTGCTGCTATTGTCTCCATTTTCGTTGGCTCGTGGGAGGCACGGCGGAGGTGACGGCAGCGCAGATCGTGCATATCTGGCGATATGTTCTGTCGTATGGGGCGTTCAGGCAAATATTCGCCCTGCGTGGAGAAGGGGTTGGGTACGTCCTGGGGACTTTTACGAGGTTGTAGCTTATTCGTCTGTTTCCGAACTGCTTTTTCTGGCTTTGGCGCCGCACGCATCCGTCGTAACATGCCCCAGCAGTTACATGTGGTCTGCAGAGTGTGGCTCTCGCCGTAGCGCGGCTCTCGCTCGTGGTAAACGCTCCCAGAAGATTACACGGTCTGAGTGATGCCCGTTTTCACTATGTGTTCTCACCATTGCGTTGCGCACACCCGCCTTGAGTGTTTTCAACGCTTATTTGCACGGAGGGGAGATGCTTTTCCACTGGAGCTAACGATTGAGTCTTCTCAAACACACGTGTTTGGAAACAGCTTTTCAAACTGTTTGAGCCGTGCAGCAGCTGCAAGGATCGAGGGTGGCTATCTTTTGAACATGTGGCTCTCCCTTAGGATTCTGTCGCGTTCTACGACGAAAGATGCCGCAGTGCGCAACAGTGCACGCGTGGAGGGTGGCTCCTTTTCAGAACGGGGCGCTTCATGGACACGTACTCATCGGTCGTTGAAAGTAGGGATTTCTGAATTCCCATGTTCCAATACACTTTAAGTGCCTTCCTACTTCAATGATCGAGTGGCCTCACCTTTTCCGTCGTCCGCCCAAGGGGGCGGACGAAACCCAATATATTGTCAACGCCTTCCTACTTCATGTTTCTACCTACTTATTTCCTCGCTCAGGGCGTGACCCGCCCCCTCTGCTCGCTCCCTCCGCCCCCTCTTTCGGCCGCGTCCTTCGCTTTCCCCCGCCCTCCTTCATGATGGCACAACTCGCTTCAACAGTATCCCCGTTCAGGCCATTCCGCTAGCGCAGACGACCCTTGCCTCGCCGCCGACGCAAAACAGTTTTTACCTAGTTCTTCCGACCAATGGTCCAGGGAGGAAAAACCACCCAGACCCGACAATCGGCGTTTACTAAGCGGCCCTGGGCGTTTACTAAGCAGCCCTGCCCTGTCCGATTCCTCCTGTGGGTGCGCTTACTAAGCGGCTTCGCGTGTCGGGGTGGTTCTTATGTCGGAAACATGAGCATATACATTACCAGTGGCGGGCGTTTTTTTCAGTCCCAGGACTTTTTTGAGGGTCGGGGACGACGTCGGGGTGATATGTTTCCCCCGTTTTCCTGGGGAAACAACAGCGAAGACTGTATACACCAGGATCCCGCATACACCAGGATCCGTTGTCCCGTGCGAGATCCAGTGCGAGGCCAGACAGAGGCGTCGGTGTACAGAGAGTTCGGCACCTTATTCTATGGGGGTGGATTCTGTGACCTCCTGCTGTGATGCTGTGATGCTGTGATGCTGTGGTGCTGCGATGCCGCTGCTGTGACTCTGTGATCTCTCTGGCTGGGCATTGCCTGTTGCCTGCCGCTGCTCCGTGCTGTCCGCCGCTGCTCCTCGCCGGAAGCCCCCGGGGGGGGGGAGGGCCCGCCGCACCCCTCGAGAGAGAGAGACGGACCCCCTCGTTCCGCTCGCCACCGACAGGCCCACGGGGCGCCCAGCGCCTCCTTGCTTTTTTGATGGGTTGCCTCAAAGGGCGCGCCCCTCCTCCTCCTCCTCCTCCTCCTCCTGCTCCTCCTCCTCCTCCTCTCCTCCTCCTCCTCCTCCTCCTCCTCCTCCTCCTCCTCCTCCTCCTCCTCCTCCTCCTCCTCCTCCTCCTCCTCCTCCTCCTCCTCCTCTCCTCCTCCTCCTCCTCCTCCTCCTCCTCCTCCTCCTCCTCCTCCTCCTCCTCCTCCTCCTCCTCCTCCTCCTCCTCCTCTCCTCCTCCTCCTCCTCCTCCTCCTCCTCCCTCCTCCTCCTCCTCCTCCTCCTCCTCCTCCTCCTTCTCCCCCCTCCTCCTCCTCCTCCTCCTCCTCCTCCTCCTCCTCCTCCTCCTCCTCCTCCTCCTCCTCCTCCTCCTCCTCCTCCTCCTCCTCCTCCTCCTCCTCCTCCTCCTGCTCCTCCTCCTGCTCCTACCTCCTCCTCGAGCAATCTACGGAGAGCGCCCCCCCCCCGAGTCGGCGGAGAGCGCGAGCCCCCTCCCGGTCTCTTGCGGGTGGTGGAAGAGGGGTGCTCTTGCGTGGACTTGTGGGGGCCGAGGCTGGGGGAACAGCAAGGTGGCATAAACAGGAAAACTCGGAGGTCCGCGCGGATTTCTCGGATCGGCGCTGGGGCCCCCCCGCGGCGCCTCCGGCGCCGCGGGGGCTTCCAGGGCGGCCCTCGTTAGCACGTCCTTCGCCCGTTCTCCCTTGTTTGGGCTTCCAGGGCGGCCCCTCGTTGAGGGAACGAAATGTGACATAAACATACAAATTCGGAGGTCCGGGCGGATTTCTCGGATCGGCGCTGGACCCCCCTCCATGGCGCGCGGAGCGCGGAATCGGAGGGTCGGTTCTCGGAGGATCGGCAGGCGGTGGATGTGGACAAATTCGGGCCCCTGGGGGCCGAAATATATCCATATCCACCGCCCGCTGGGGCACCAGGGCGTCGGTTCCCAGGCGGTGGATATGGGAAATCCCTGCCTCGCATGAGGGTGCGCTTGGTGCATCGTTGATGCATCCTGGGCGTATGTAATCGCTTCGCTCAAAACCATGTAACAGTGCTCGTGAGGGTGCACTGTGGTGCATCGGCGGGGCTCGTCTCGACTCCTCTGAGTCGATTCGGCTTGGGAGTCCGATTTGGGCTCCGATTTCTCTTTGCTGATATCTGCCGACTCGGGTTGCCTCGCGAACCCACTCGGGGGAATTAAGCGGAGCACCGTCCGACCAAAACGAAGGAACCCCTTCCTCTCCTCCTCCTCCTCCTCCTCCTCCTCCTCATCCTCCTCCTCCTCCTCCTCGTCACCCTCTTCCTCCTCCTCCTGCCCCTCCTCCTCCACCTCCACCTCCTCCGCCTCCTCCTCCTTCCTCCTCCCTCCGCCCTTCTGCCTCCTCCCTCCTCCCTCCTCCAACCTCCCTCCCTCCCTACCTCCTCCCTCCTTCCTCTTGCCTCCTCCCCGCCTCCCTCCTCCCTTCTCCCATCTCCCTCATCTCCCTCTTCTCCCTCCTCTCCCTCCTCCCCTCTGTCCCCTCGCTCCTCCTTCCTCCGTCCTCCCTCCTCCGTCCTCCCTCCTCCTCCTCCTCCTCCTCCTCCTCCTCCTCCTCCTCCTCCTCCTCCTCCCCCTCCTCCTCCCTCGAGGCTCTTCCAGGAGGGAGGACGCGGGGGTGGGCGAGGAGGAAAAGAGAAGGAAGGCAGGCGGAATGATGACGGAGGACCAGGAGGCCATGGTGAGGATTTGTTTGACATGGACTACGAGGCGATATCAGCGCCACGGTACTGGGCCCACTGTGAGATCATTCCTCTGTGGGTGCAGGCCCTTGCAAATGCGGTTGAAACACCATCTTTGCTTGGGACTGGGCTGGTCGCGTTCTTTAGCCAAGCCTCGAACATGGCTAAAGGCGGCGTAGGACAAGCAACGGATGCAATCTGTAAACACCGTGCCATCCGAAACAGGGACCGTAACTGGCTCGTGGGGCAATCCCCGCAAGATGGGGCCATCGAGCCGAGAAAAATCGCTGCACACGACAGGAGAAGGAGGACGGTCAGATCCTTCAACCGAGCGGCCACACGAGCAGTTCTGACACCGCCGACAGCTGCGGGAACCCAAGGAGACATAAGCCCACTCGTGAGGAGGATCTTGGGGCTCCTTGGGCTCAAGTGGTGGGGCAATCCACGGGGCATCCGACATATCCAAACGTGGTCATCTGGGAAACACATTGGCCGCCAAAGCGCAGACAGCCTTGGAGATCCGAATACGACGGTTGAGCTCCTCGAGCTCGTTGTCGGAAGCCCTTGGGTGAGACAACGCAGCAGCCTTGGTTGCTTCGTCGGCCTCCGAGTTACCAGTGCGCAGCCATCGCTCCCGAGCAGAAATGCCCGCCTCTTGCGGGTCTAAATGACTTTTGACTTTGACGACGGAATCAACCAGACTCGCACCGATGCGAAACAGCATCATTAGCCCAGCGAACGGTCGCTTATAACTCAACTGCACTGCGCAGGGGGCTTTACACTGAGTGACCACATTCGAGCAGTCCGAGGAAAAGGTGGAAGGGCCCCCAATCTCCATCCCACCGCGGGCTATCCCCGCAAACTCCGAGCACTGAGACGTCTGGGGGAAAGGAGCGTGAACAGGCCCAAGAAGTCTGCCAAGCCTGCGTCCATCATCGCCCACAGCCACGAGCCCATAGCCTGTACGGGAGAGCTCACTAATCTGGTGCCGAAGGCTGCTGCCGTCGACAAATATTTTACCTGCAAATGTGCCACCATCCTGGGGGGTTCGTCCCAAAGCAACTTAGCCTGAATGCTTCCTCCTTCGCTGGCAGGGCGAGGGAAGGTGTCGCCAGGGTGAGGGAAGAGGCCCCTGTTGAAGAGCAGGTGGTCAAGGGGGTCGGACATATCCGCGTCAGCGACCATACTCATAATGTCTGGCTTCACCAGCTCATCTCGCAAAGACGCAACTGACGGGCACAGCCAAAGACGGTGATGAACGCAAGTTCTGAAAGCCAGAACCCGCAGCAAAGGGCAGATGGAACGCGCAGGAGGCCACAGCGCAGGCCATCGCGAACCACAACCCCAAGATTGCGAACCACAACCTCACGAATGGAGCTTCTGAACGATTACCCAGTCTTGGTACTGCTTTCCTCTCTCGCCCCCGACGACGTCCTGGAAGTGCTCTGCCCCCCCCCCCTACGGTTTCAAAAGTCCGTGTTTCATATATATATATATATATAGGTGCGTTTCGATCGGGACGTTTTCGGAGTTTCAACAGAGTGCTCCCGCTGCAGCGTTGGCCTCGTTACACCGTTGCTCAGAATCGCGATCTCGCCCCAGCGCGGGCGACGCGTCTGGATCCGAGTCCTCTTCTCGCCGTTGCCGCCCCTTTCCTTTCCTCTCCCCCGCCTTCCCCTGGTCCTCCCGCTCCTCCCGCTCCTCCTGCCCCTTGCTGCTTCAGTTCCTCCTCGTCCTCCTCCTTCCTCATCTCAGCCTCCTTCCTCATCTTCCTCGTCCTCCTCCTTCCTCATCTCAGCCTCCTCCTCCTCGTCCTCCTCCTTCCTCATCTTCCTCGCATTCCTCCTGCTCAGCCTCCTGCTCTGCTCGTCCGCCACCTCCTCCGGCGTGCACAGCTCACTGCACACCACGCGATCGTGTCCTCTCGGGGGGGCTCCAGGTCCGCTGTGGCACCCGGCGGAGGCGGAGGAGGAGGAGGAGGAGGAGGAGGAGGAGGAGGAGGAGGAGGAGGGAGGAGGAGGAGGAGGAGGAGGATGGAGGAGGAGGAGGAGGAGGAGGAGGAGGAGGATGAGGGAGGGAGGAGGAGGATGGAGGAAGCATCGGCACCATGGGAAAAATGGGCGGGAGGGGCAGGATGTCCGCCCCGTCTCGAGGATTTTCGACGCGGCGCGAGCGCCCCTGGCTTGCCCTCTCCCTTCTCCTCCTCTCTCTCCCTCCCTCCCTCCCCCTCCCCCTCCCCCTCCCCCCTCCCCCCCCCTTCCCCCCCCCTCTCCTCGCTCCCCCTCCCCTCCCTCCCTCCCTCCCTCCCTCCCTCCCTCCCTCCCTCCCCCTCCCCCCCCCTTCCCGGGGCCCCCGACGCGATGACTTGTCACGACGTAGGTCTCGACCCATTCCCCAGGGCCCGCCTTTCACCCCGAGCCGTTTTTCGACGGTCTCGGCGCCAGTGAAGGCCCCCTAGAGGAAGAATAGCACCACACACTTTGCAACGTACTTTTTTTTCCATGACGCGAGGGGGATCTGGGCCTGCCTCATGCTTTCGTTCCGCGTCTTCCTCGTGCCGTCTCGCGGAGCCCCTGTGCTGTTGCGCCTCTTCTCGGAGCATCCCACACCTGGCGCCCCAGTGGACCTTTCAGCCCACGCCACTTGTCTGCCAGCCGTGTGCCGCCTTCAGCCGACTGGCTTCGTGCCTCATCGGCCCCGAACGGTCGGGCCGCCGAAGAAGGACCCCCTCTCCTTGGGGAGGGACTCGGTGCTCCCCCATTGGCTTGCAGTCTGGCTCAGGTTTGCCTCGGGTGTTCCTCGGGGACACCGAAGTTCCGCTTGCGGGAAGCGCAGGGGCGTCGCTCCGGCTTTCGGGTGCCCTCTGCCAGCGCTCCGACTGGAGCCCCAAACCCCTGGCCCTCCCGCGGGACCCGCCGCGCTCCGCCCCGCTCCGCCCCGCGGGGGCCGCCCCCCCCCCCCCCCCCCCCCGCACACGTGGGCGCGCAGGAGCCCGCCGCCTCGCGCGGCTCCGTGCTGCACGGCGACGGCCGCTGCGTGCCCTGCGCGTGGTACTGGAAGGCCGAGGGCTGCAGGCTGGCCCCGCGGGCTGCGCTGCCTCGGACGCAGCTCCCGGGAGGTCCATTTCTGATGTTGCCCTGGCCCGAAATCCAGGTTGATCTGGCCCAATCCCGCTCAATCCGGCTTGCTCCCGCTTGATCCCGCGTGATCCCGCGTAATCCGAGGCCCACTCTGGCATAGCAGCCCCCCCAGTGGGGCCTAATCCTCCTTCATCCTTCCGACGAAGACCTCCCAGTAGTTGCCTCCCCACGTTGCATCTTCGGGGGACCTCGTCTGTCCCCAACATGGGTGTCTGCCCTTGTGCGCGACGCGGGTTTGATGGGGACTCGACGTGGATTTGAGACGGGTTTGACACAGATTCGACACGGATCCGACGAGCCCGACATGGATTCGACACGGATTCGACGCCTACAGGGGCGCGACGGGACAGACGAGATTCCCCGAATATGCAACATAGCGTGGGGGGGGGCTTCTTCCGCTCTCCTCTATGCTTTCAGCCCCCATCAACGCCGACGTCTCACCTGATCCGAATAGGACGTCGCCCCGCTGAGCCTTCCAGGGGCCCAGCCTCCAGCGACAGCGAGGTCTCATCTGATCTGGATAACATGTCGCTCCGCTGGACCTCCCAGGAACCCTGGAAAGTATCACCATCTTCGCATCTCGCAGCACCTGCCGGCGGCGGCAACCGCTGGTTTCGCCGACGGCTGGTTTCGTCCAGTTGGTTCTGCCCAGCTGGTTTCGCCCAGCTGGTTTTGCCGCTGGCGAAACCAGCTGCCGTCGGCGAAACCAGCTTCCGCCGGCGAAACCAGCTGCCGTCGGCGAAACCAGCTGCCGTCGGCGAGACCAGCTGCCGTTGGCGAAACTGCCCGATACGACCCGCCCGCTAGGGTCCGCCCGCCAGACCCGACCCGCCCGTTAGGGTTCGCGCGTGCTCGGTCGAGCGTACCCCACACTTTACTGTCCTGCGCGCTTGGCCCGACCCGCCCGTTAGGGTCCGCCCGCCCGACCCGACCCGACCCGCTCGCTCCACCCGCCTGCCCGACCCGACCCGACCTGCCCAGTAGGGTTCGCGCGTGTTCGGTTGAGAGCGCCCCACACTTTAATGCCCCCCCGTCCGCCCGACCCGAACCGCCCGTTAGGGTCCGCCCACCCGATCCGACCCGACCCGCTCGCTCGGGTTCGCCCGCCCGACCCGACCCGCCCGTTAAGGTTCGCGCGTGCTCGGTCGAGTGTGCCCCACACTTTATTAATGTCCCGCCCGCCCGACCCGACCCGCATGTCAGGGCCTGCCCGCCCGACCCGACCCGACCCGCTCGCTCGGGTCCGCTTGCCCGACCCGACCCGCCCATTAGGGTTTGTGCGTGCTCGGTCGAAAGTGCCCCACACTTTCATGCTGTCCCGCCCGTCCGACCCGACCCGCCCGCTATGGTTTGCCCGCCCGACCCGACCCGACCCGCCCGCCAGGGGCCGCCCGCCTGGGCTGGCAGTGCTCATCCTCTCTCTCTCTCTCTCTCTCTCTCCTGCGTCTCCAACTGGCCGTGCCCTGAGGTGCCTCGTCGCTGGAGGCTTGGGATATTTTATGCTCCCCTGCGCATTTGGAGATGATGCATCGTGCATTTGTTGCGTTGAAACATTGCACATTTCCAAGGTGTGCGCTTTTCTTTGATAGGGGGCCCTGCACCAGTTTCGGCACGCTCCTCGCGTGGGCCCTGGGCGCTGCCGCGGGCCCCAGAAAGCGTGCTGGGCGAAGCCGGCAGCTGGGGCGGAGGAGGCGGACGCCCCGACAGGAAGCCCGAAAGCGCGCCAGGCGCGCGGGGAGCGGACGGGGCGGCAACCATCGGGGGATCCCCGAGAGACCCCTCAGCGCGGCTCGCGGGCGCTGCCAGCGGCCACAGAAAGCGCGCGAGGCGAAGCTTGCAACAGGGAGAAACAGATGTATGTATATGTATACATACATATGTATATAACCACACACAACAAACAACCCACATATATATATAGATTTATCGTCAACATGAAAAGCACTGAGAGACCCCGAGAGATCCGTTAGCCCGCAGAGATCCGACGCCCATGTCGGTATACCCTTCGCAGATCTCCCGCTGGTCTGAGTGCTTGCGGCGGAGCGGAAGGTTACGGTGGAGCAAGTGTCTCCCCCCCGAAAGCCCCAAGAAACACATTTGACTACCTTCCTCCAATTGTTGATTTGTTTGGCGTTTTCGCTTTCTCTGGCTCCGACGTTCCAAGACGTCCTACGAGGCCCCCCGAGATTCCCCCGAGCCCGCACAACGGGGCCCTAGGAGGGCCCCGGGACGGCCCAAAATGGCCTCGTGACGGCCAAGGAGGACCCCAAGGTGGCCACCCACTGCTAGGAAAATAGAACAGCAGGCACAGATATCATTTTCCCGGGGGTCCCTGCGGCCTTCTGGCATCGGCGTTGGGACCCCCTGGCGGTGCCATCTGCGCCGCCGGGTCCGGCGCCGATCCAAGGAATGAGCGCGGACCTGGGAGAAAAATTGTGTTTTACGGCCTCTGGCTCCCCAACCCAAAGGGGGGGTCGGTACCCATACGGCCACCGTTGTTTGGTGTTCTCCTTTTTGGGCATCCCGGGAGGCCTTCGTCGCCACCGCTGGATTCGCCTCGGAATTCTAGTCAGAACGCACCCTGGTATCGGTACCTTTTGGTCTCCCCACCATTTGCTACGAGCACAGGTACGCCTGCGCCCGTACCTCGTCGGCCATCGCCTGCGCTGCCGGATCCGGCTCGAATTTCCCTGAGCCAGCTGGCGAAGGGGCCCGCGCGGAGAGGGCGACCGCCCGCGCAGAGTCCACCCTGTAGAGACCCTGACGACCCCGGCGCCCGCCGCGCTGTTTCTTCTCCGTGCTACCTCTCCGCCCTCGCTTTCGGCCGCGTCCTCCTCCTGCTCCCCCTCTGTGCACGGTGGCACGATCTGCCCTGGCGGCACCCCCGTTCGGGCCCTTCCGCCGGCGCAGACATCCTCCGCTTCGCCGCCGGCGCCAGCAGTTTCCTTTCCAGCCGCGGCCGCAGAGGTCCTGGCCTTTTCCGGAGGAGCAGCTTGGCGTACCGGCACACGGTGGAGGCCCATACCAGGAAACACCCTGCTCGCCTCCAGGGTGCCCTGGGTTTCTTGGGCTTCGATGGTTTGCGCGAGGCTCCCACGCCAAAGATCGATGGACGTCCTGGGGTCGCAGGGCTGGGTTTGTTGTGGAAGGTTTCTTGTGAACTGGCCTTCGCTGTATCCATCTTGATGGCCCCGGGGCCCCATAGCGGGCCCTGGTCCGGCGGGGCTAGAACGAGGATAGATCCGCTCCAGAGCGTTCTGGGACGCCTCCAGAGCGTTCCAGAGCGCTCTGAGAGGGCCGCGGCGCCCGATACATCCTCCAGAGCCGCCAGATCTTAGAGATTCTCGATGTATCCGCCCACGAATTTTCATCCTCGTCTTGGCTTCGTCCTACCCTGCAGTCCGAAATCGAGGACCAGCGCCTGGACTGAAGAGATCAACTTATCTGAGGTTCGGGCTTGGCATCGCTCGGATGTGTGCGTCTTTCCTAAGCGAGGACCATCGAGGATACTCTCGGACCATCTTACGAAACATGCGCACAAAACCAAAATGCGCACGGGGAATGGACGTCCGAGCGATGGCGAGGTACAGTGGAGGTACGCATCAAGAAACCAAATGCTTCCCGCCAGGGTATCCTGGGTTTCTTCCATCCGCGCGCTGCGCGGTGACTTCCCGCGGCCGTTCAGAAGCTGCTGCGTTCAGGGTGCTCCCGGCTTCCACGCAGGTGACCCTCGCGCGCGGATTTTCGGGGCTGGGCTCCCTGCGAGGGCTTCCTGCGAGGGTTGGGTTCCGTGCGAGGGCTCCCTGCGAGGGCTCCCTGCGAGGGCTTCCTGCGAGGGCTGGGCTCCCTGCGAGGGCTCCCTGCGAGGGCTCCCTGCGAGGGTTCCTCGGCAAGGACCATCGAGGAGGACCTCGGATCGCCTTTCTCGAGGCCCACGGCGCGCGGCCCGCCCCCCCCCACCCTGCCCCCCCGCCGAGGAGCGGGGCGGCGTGCCGGCGCTGCCACCTGTGTCCGGCGGGCGAGATCAAGGCGAGGAGAAAGGTGGGCCCCCCGGGGGGGGGGAGGGTTTCTCCGAAGGGCTTAGGCGACCCGTCCTCCCTCCTCCTCCTCCTCCTCCTCCTCCTCCTCCTCCTCATCATCCTCCCCCTCCCCCTCCACAATTACTCAATATGAAAATACTCTCCCTCTTCCCCTGATGGTGTCCGGGTGATGGCCGCGCACCCTCCGCGTACTATTTTTTTTACACAGGATGCCCGGGAAATCCCGGGAAACGACTCTCGCTGAGGCGCCGGCGTCATTTTTTCCAAAAATGTTGCTCTCGTTGAGGCGCCGGCCTCATTTCTGCTCCCGAATCGTTCCGAATCGTGCTCCCGCTGCAGCGTGGGCCTCATTTTCGGATCGGTGTTTGGCCTCCGTCGTTCAGGATGGCGTTCTCGCCCCAGCGCGGGCCTCTTTCTCGCGCGCCCATCCGCCCGCCACCACCGCGCCGCACCGCCACCACCACCACCACCACCACCACCACCACCACCACCACCACCACCACCATCACCACCACCACCACAACCAGCACCAGCATCAGTACCAACACCACCACCAGCACCACCACCACCACCACCAGCACCACCACCACCACCACCACCACCACCACCACCACCACCACCCACCACCACCACCACCACCACCACCACCACACGCACACACGCACGCACGCACGCACGTGCACCACCACCCACTACGCACGCGCGCGCGGAGCCACAGGTCCGCTACGACACGCGTCCGCGGATAGAGAAAATCAGCGCCATGGTAAGGGATGGGTGGGTGGGGTAGGACGTCAGATATGACGCGAGCGCACCTAGCTTGCCCTCCCCCCCCTCTCCCTCTTCCTCCGCCTCCTCCTCATCCTCCCCCTCCCCCTCCTCCCCCTCCTCCCACTCCTCCTCCTGCTCCTCCCCCTCCTCGCCCTCCTCTCCTCGGGTCGCCTACGGCCCCTGGGGAAACCGTCCAGGGGGGGTCAAGCAGTGGCGAAGCACCCTGGCTTGCCCATCGGCCCATCGGTCAGCAGGAAATCTTTTCAGGACTTTTCTGGCTGGGGCTGTCTTGTTTGAACTACTAGGTTTTATGTTGTAAGAGCATTGATCTCGTTAGTAGGACGTTCTTTTGTTCTAAGAACAGTTCGTGGTAGGCCTTTCGGGGACAAGTAGTGGTGAAGCGTCCTGGTTGGCCTACAGTGGAAGCATCTGCCAAGAAACACCCTGCTTGCATCCAGGGTGCCCTGGCTTTCTTGGATTGCGATGGTTTTTGATATTGAAAGCGTGACGTCCCCACATCGAATGTCAATGGACGTCCTGGGGCCTCAGGGTTGGGTTTCGTGTGGAAGGTTTCTTGTGGTCGAGCTCCTGCTGTGTAGGCCCGCGACGCAGTGTTCCAATAACCTCTTGTGGTTAGCACGAGATGCTCCAAGATCTTGTCTGGTTGAGACAGTCTTGTTTCAACTCATCGTTTCTATGTTGTGAAAACAATGCTCTTTCCGGCGCCACCCCAAAATACTTGTACTATGTGTGCGTCGCCCCCCCCCCAGGGCGACGCGCGCACCGAGAACTCTCACAGTACATGCGTCGTGGCGGGCGCTGTCTGGCATCACCGCTCTGGAAGCGATCCACTACAAGGCGGCTATACTTTGTGCTCGGATCGGACGCGCGTGCCTCCGAGGAGGACATCTGGTACTAGTATGAAGTCGGACGTGTCCCCCTACAGGGGGATTTTCGACGAAAAATAAAGAAACCCCAACAATAATCAAAACATAGTAAACAAAATAGATTGGGGACTATGTTTTTGGTATTTGTTTACTTTTTTGGGGGGGGGGATGTTTGTTTTTTCTCGTCGAAAATCCCCCCTGCAGGGGGACACGCCCGACTTAATACTAGTATGTCTCTGCGCGACTCATTTTATGTTCTGAGAGCATTGCTTTTGTTCCAGGGAGGAAAAACCAGCCGGACCGGACAATTGGCATTTACTACATGGCCCTGGGCGTTTACGAAACAGTGTTGCCTTGCTTGATTCTTTCTTTGGGTGCGTTTACTAAAGGGCTTCGCGTGTCGGGGTGGTTATTATCGGAGTGGATGTTCTGCCTTCTATTTGTTCTTAGAACGTTCTTTGGTTCTGAGAGCATTTTTCGGTACGCCTTTAGAAATGCCTTGACGGCCTGGCGGGCACCACCGCTCTAGGTGTCCTCTTCGACTCGATCGGCCCGACTTGTGCTTGAGGCCGAGGTTTTCGAGGTCCTTCGACTCAGGTTCGACTCGGGTTCGACTCGGGTTCGACTCAGGTTCGACTCAAGGGCGGCTCACATCGACGGGAGTTCGACGCGGCTTCGACGCACGAGTGGAGCAAGTGTCTCCAGGAAGGTCCCCAGAATGAGCACCCATCCTTCGGTAATAAATCATGGGGGCCTGGTCTACCCTCTTAATTCCGTCTTTAGCGTCGACTAGCGTCGATTAGGTTTTGGGAGTCGCTGAGATAGCACCGATTTAGCGTCGGTTAGCGCCGATTGGTTTCGATTTAGCGTCGATTAGCGTCGACTAGCGTCAATCAGCGTCGGTTCGTAAGAGCCGACAAGATGGTATGGGAGGCTCCCATGAGTTGCCACAGATCTATCCCCATCCCCACTTGAGGCCAAGATATCTCAGTCCCGCCAGGTCACCCGCCCAGGTGAAAATCGGTCCCGCGAAATCCGCAGGGATCAGAATCTATCCCCACCCAGGGGTGTACGTTGGCAAGTGGGGCTAAGGCTATGCCAGCGGGCTTGCAATTGCAACCCGGCAACAGAAGGATCATTCACAGTGGCAGTGGCCACCGACCACCTGGCGGCACACGTACATTCCCGACAGCGTGCACGTGTTCGGCATGAGTGAAGATTTAGATTTTGTCGCCCTGCCGCAGCACGAGATACTTCAGACTTAAGCTGCAGCGCGCCACACCCCACGCATTGACCGGATATAGCTCGGACCCCAGTAATCGGAGCTGGTTAGTGATTGGGCCCCGAAGCCCAAACGATATAGCCAGAATTACTGAACCCAGTCCGCCGTGGCTGGTGTTTCTTGGGGTTGCGGCAGTTCCTGTTAGTGACATGGGGTGGGGGGGCGTCCCTGGGTACACATCAATTACACCGTTTAGCTTGGTTTGTGCCTTTGTTCGGTTTATCGTTTCGTTTCTCGTTCTTGTTTCGTTTCGTTTGTCGTTGTTGATTAGTCGCCCCGTGTTGTCTTTCGTTTTCGTCTGGCACTGGCTCCGTTTTCAACGTTCGTTTCAAACGTTGGGCCTCGTATCGTTGTCCGTTGTAAACGCTTCTTCGTTGTACACATCGTTGTGGTCGGTCCTTGATTACCGAATCTCACTAAACCCAGTGCCGCCAACGCCCGATTTGAAGGAGAAAGTCGGCAGACGCACACACCCTTAGAGCTTCGGGCTGATCTCGGATCGGCGCCGGGCCCCGCTCGGCAGCGCCCACCGGCGCGCCACCCTTGCGCCGATCTAAGCATTAACGGGCGAAGAACGGTATAAAATAAACTTTTTCGTTTGGGGGCGCCTGTCCCAGGGCGGCTGGACAGTTTACACCCTTACGGTGGCACCGTAGGGGTATAAACTTTCCAGCCGCCCGGGGGCAGGTGTCCCCGACAGCGAAAAAGTTTATTTTATACTGTTGTTCGCCCGTTAAAAGCAATCCGCCCGGAGAACCCGGAGCTTATGTTTATGCAGTCGTTTATTCCCTCCCATAACTGCACTGCTGCCGCTGGAACCTCCCCTGGGTGCACCCGCGACGCCGCCGTGCGCCCGCTGCCAGGGGCTGCCCTCTGGCCCGGCCGCCCCGCGCACACCCCCCCCCCTCCGCGGCCTTGCCGCGCGAGTGCGCCCGCTCTCCTTTGCCTCCGCTCTCCGCGGCCGTCTCCTCTCTTCTCTCAGGAGCGAAAGAAGGACGTACATGTACATGCATCCACGCCGGTTTCGAGAGCACGCATTGCACAAATGTTCGTATAACGCGACGGGTCTCGCGAATCGAGGGGCCGTGCTCATGTACATAGCTGGGCGCGTACGTCCTTTGTGGGCTCCCTATTCTCCTCCCCTCTTGCACGCGGGACACTTCGCAAAACCGCAGCCCGGGTTGCGTGGAGGCGCGCGCGGGCCGCCCCTGCCGCGCTGCGACGCCAAAAGGTTCCTCCTGCAGCCCTCATGGAACGGGCGTCGAAAACTGCACCGCCACCGTGTGGTGGGAGCTGCAGGTTTCGGGGCCAGAACTGGCTGGGCGGGCGTATTGTCAATCAGGCCGGCTCCGCCTCGTCTATCTATCTTATTGTTCTAAGCACACGCGAAGCTTAGACGCTCACGGCCGAGTTCGCATTTTTCCCCTGCGCACGCAGCGACATATGTTCCGTATGATTGCGCGTGAGCCGCGGGGCCACTCCAGGAACGCCAAAACCCGAACGGCACTACAAGGACGAGCTTCAGACCAACAGTCAGCACGATGGCACCCGGCATAATTTTGACGATGACGATCGCGACGGACAGTGTCACGCCAGACCCCACGCCCAGTATGCATGATGAGGATGTAGTCGCAGACTCGTTGGAAACATGGGTAGACTGGATCAAGCGGGCCACTCAAACGGACGTGGCGGCAATCATGACATGTCAAGTCACTTGGGCATCGGCAGCACGGCAAACAGATGGCAATGGGTACGCGCATTGATAGCCACAGGCAATCAGGGATGGTTGCGGCAGGTCGGTAAACCGTTGGACTCCACAACACGATGTCGAATGTGATGCGATACGCATGGCGAGATGGCAAAGGCGACATTGATCGTTTACCTACGAAATAACATCGTGGAATGTTATGTACGTTTCGCGTATCTGTACCAACCCATCCAGGAACGATGCCAGTGGTAGTTGTTTGGGTGTAGACGTTGAACGAGGGGATGCGTGTGGAGGTGAACGAGGAGGAACAGGAGGAGGAAGACATGGTGTCTTCTTGGGGCCCTCTTGGGGTCCTCTCTGGACTGCATCGGGACCCTCCTGAGAGCCTATTGGGGCTCGTTGGGGGAACCGTTGGGACTTTGTTGGGCCGATGATGGGCCCCATGGCTCACGGGGGGCGGGCTATTCCGATCCTCACGGAAGCAGAGCAACTACTTCTGGAATGTTTTTCGGGATGTTTATGGGGCCTTTCTGGGGCTTCTCGGACTAACTTGGTGCCCTCTTAGGTTCTTCTTGGGGACCTCTGGGGCCATCCGAGGGCCTCAGATGCACTGGAGGCGAACAAAAACAAGAAGGTACTTATTTTTGAAAAGATTTCGGTCTGTTGGAGGGCTCCTTGTGGGGCTCCTGGAGCACGCACTTGAAGCCGTCACGAGGCCGTCTTGGGGCCTCTCGGAGATTTGTCGAATGTTATATTGCATCTTGCAGACCATGTTGGTGCGTCGAGAGCCGTTTTGGCTTGAGCAAGAATGGCCCTGTCCAGAACCTAGGGATGAGGGGGGGTTAAGCGGCTCCCCGAAGAGGATAATCATGGGTTCTGGAGGAGAGAGAACGAGCCGATAAACCACCTGCGTCCACAGGGCTGGTGGCATTTGGCATGTGACGATCTGAGCGCCGCAGCTACCTTCTAGTATGTTCCACGGAGCATGGTGATGAAGCTGGAGCGGAGCTCGTGCTCGTAACTCTGGCGCCCCAGCGCCGCACCCGCAGCACCCTGGAACTGCGACCATGTAAGGGAGTGTTCTGTGGTCGTTTCTGTTTCTGGAACGACCGCGGCGCCCGATGCATCCGCCAAGCCCGCTGGTTCGCTGGTTCGCTCCGACGTGGCAGAGCTTTCCTTGCGAAGATGGGCTACGCGAGCTGGGTTGGCGGACGAAAGAAAAGAAAAGAAGAATGGGCACAGTAGGCCCAGCTCGGACGAGTGGAGCTACCAAACTTCTTCGTGGGACCCGGGAACATGCCAAGGGGCCAAGAGAAGACCGCACGGGCCAAACATAAGATGGACCGACAACCTCGGGCTCCCCGTGAACGCGCGGAGCGGCGTCGGCGCTCGCCTCGCCTCGCCCCGATGCCGTGCTCGCGCTGGGCTCGTCTCAGGTCAAGAACTCCCTGCTCCGCGGGATGAGCAAGCAGAGCGTGCCGCCGGCGCCGTGGCTGCCCTCGCCGCCCCCGGGCCTCGAGGACACGGACGGCAGCGGCAGCAGCGCGGCCGCGGAGGACGAAGGCCGGGACCCCCCCCCCTTCGGAGGGACGGGAAGGCGAACGGAGCGGGGCCCGGAAGGACCGCCGAGAGGCGGTTTTTGGAGCGTCTTTTTTAAGAGGCCACATGCGAACCCTACCCCTACCCCCCACGATTTCTAAGGGGGAGGGTGGGGTTCACTTCGCTCGGGAGCTCCCGAACGAAGTGAACCCCACCCTCCCCCTCAGAAATCGTGGGGGGTAGGGGTAGGGTTCGGGTCATTCCGATTCCGCCGGTTCGAGTCGAATCGATCTCCGCGATTCCGATTTCGAACCGACTCGATTCCGGGATTCCGATTCGCGATTCCGATTTCGAGTTTGTCCGATCCGGCCTCTGCCGATTCGACGCGTCAGCCGATTCCTGCCGGCTTTTGCCGATCCAGCTTCGCTCCGGCTCTGGCCCCCAAGGGGAGGAGGAGTAGGGAGGAGGAACCCCCAGGGGGGAGTCCAAAAACCCCCAACCCCCCCAGGGACCCCAAACCCTCCCCAGGGGGGGGGTCCAAAAGCTCCAGGATCCCAACCCCCCCCCAGGGGGGGGGGGTTCCAAAAGCTCCGGGACTCCAACCCCTCCCCAGGGGGGCGTTTTCCAAAAGCTCCGGCCCCCCCCCCCCCAGGGTGGGGTTTTCCAAAAGCTCCATGGACCCCAAACCCCCCCCAGGGAGGGGGGTCCAAAAGCTCCGGGACCCCAAACCCTGCCAGGGGGGGGGGTCCAAAGCTCCGGGACCCCAAACCCCCCCCAGGGGGGGGTTTTCCAAAAGCCCCTGGACCCCAAACCGCCCCCAGAGGGGGGTTTTCCAAAAGCCCGGGACCCCAACCCCCCCCCCAGGGAGGGGTTTTCCAAAAGCCCCGGGACCCCAAACCCCCCCAGGGGGGGGGGTCCAAAGGCTCCGGGACCCCAACCCCCCCCGCAGGGGGGGGTTCAAAAACCAAAACCCCGCCCAGGGGAGGGGTCCAACCCCCCCCCCCCCCCCCAGGGGGGGTTCCAACTCCCCCCCCCCGGCCCCCAGGGGGGGGTCCGATTTCGATTCCGATCCGGCTTGACACGGTCCGGTTTCCGACTCGATCCGGCTCGGATTTGCCTACCTCAGCCGATTTCGATTTGGTTGCCGGTTTTTGCCGATTTCTGCCGATTCGATGCTCCGGTCGACCCGATCCGGCTTATCGATTCGATGCTGGGGCCGCCTGGGTTCGGATGTGGCCCCCTATTCTTGGCGAGATAGAGGATGGGGTACAAAGGGATGGAGCCGTAAAGACTGCGAATCGAACTCGGGATCCATTCCTATCCTCAGGGCGCCATCCCTCAGGGCCCGGCCTCGGAACTGCCGAGCTGTGTTGTTGTTGCATTTCTCTGGCTCCAGGGAGCTCCGGGGAGGCAGGGGGATCACGTCCCTCCTCAGACAGAGGGTGCGCCGCACGTTCAATTCGCAGAGGACACGCCTGGGTTTCGGGCGTTACGACTCTGTCACCTCGCGTGCAGCAGCGACCTCCCCGAGGGCTGCAAGACGCAGCTCGTTGCGTCCGCCCTGCCTTGGAGACGACGCGCAGAGTGCCCCCTGTGAGCCGACTTCCTCCTAGAGGGGCCAACGAAATCAGTCTCAGGCAACTCGGCATCCGAGGAACCCAGAGCTCCAGCGTGGTGATTCCTTCTCCGCGCGGACCCCCTGAGGTCTGGGCCCCTCTACTGAGACGGCATGGTTTCCGCCAAGGGCCTCTGGAGGCCGGACATGGGCAAATTCTTGACGCCTCGCGTGCCCCCACCAGCTCTCCTTCTGGCTGCTTGAGAAGTATCGGTCCTGGCTCTCCTTCTGAGTGGCTGCCCGCGCGCTCGCTTCGCTTGCCTTTCTTCTCCTGCTGCTTAGTCGCGGCCCGACTAGTGTTTGGACGGCTTTCGACCCGCCTCGCGAGCCTGTTGACCAAATGCCCCCACCAGCCCATCCCGAACCGACGCCCAGGCGAGTTGAGACGATCATGGCAGCGTAGGAACAACATGGGCAGGCCAGCCAAAACTGTGGGAGCTGTGGTCCTTACCCCCTCTGGGGGGCCCATCGATTTCGACACCCCTCTCGAGAGATCGTCGAGGCGATGGTTTCCCCCCAGAGGGGGTAAGGACCACAGCTCCCCCAGTTGTGGCTGGTCGGGCGGGGGGCAGTCGCTGCCGTTCGACGGAGGAGGATCCAGGAGCCCCCCCTATCGGCGACGCGCTGCCCGGGAGCAGCGGCCCCTTCCAGCGGCCCGCGCGGCCGACCCCTCCTGGCGGCCGGAGAGGGGCCGCGGCGGCGCGCCGCGGCGGCCCCGCGCGCAGAGGAGGGCGGCGGCGCACGGAAGCGCGCTCCCCCGCTGCTCCCCGCGCGGGCGCGCTGTCCCGTCCCGCCCTCGACGGCCCTGTGCGAGTCGATCGCGTGCGCGGTCTCGCGTCGGAGAAGCTGTGGGAGAGGAAAGATAGGTGGGGATCGAGTCGGGTCGGTTTCCTTTCGGTTCGAGTCGGGGATCGACTACATAATGGGTTTACTTTGAATAATAGTACTAACAAGAAGAAGAATACAAAGAAGAAGAAAAAGAAGAAACAGAAGAAGAAGAAGAAGAAACAGAAGAAGAAGAACACAACACGCCATAAATACGTAAAAACTGTTGGCGCTCCGCGCGGAGCTCTCTGGGATCCGCGCCTGGGCCCCCCGGCGGCGCCTCCGGCGTCGCCCCTGGAGGCGCCGCCCCTGGCGCGTTCCGCGCGCCAGGGAGGGGGGTCCAGCGCAGATCCAAGCAATCTGCGCGGAGCGCCAACAGTATACGTCTTTATGTTTTTTGTTTTTGCTCCTATTGCCTCAAGCGTGCTCTGGTCTTCGAGTCTATGACAAAAGCGTATAAGAATTGCAGGTCTACGAACATTATACGTACGTCCTGTACACTCGACGAGAAGGTCAACTTTGGGTAAATCCGTTCTGCAGTCGTGGCCCTTCCGATTCTGCTGTCTCGTTTCGATTGGTTGTTCCCCAGCTTCGGGGCTCAAGGGACGGGGTCCTTGCAGGCGGGGATCAGCCAGACAGCCTCACCTCAGGGTCCATTCCGACTCCGCCAGCTCGATTCGATTGTATTTCCCAGGCTTCTGGGCTCAAGGGACTCGAAGAAGAAAAAACGCCATAAACGTAAATTTTTGGCGCTCCGCGCGGATTTCTTGGATCGGCGCCTGGGCCCCCCTGGCGGCGCCTCTGGCGCCGCCCCTTGGCGCGCTCCGCGCGCCAGGCAGGGTGTTCCAACTCAGATCCAAGAAATCCTCGCGGACCGTCGCAAGTTTATGTTTATGGCGTTGTGTCTTCTTCTAATTCCGATTCCGCCGGCTCGATTCGATTGGATTTCCCAGGCTTCGGGGCTCAAGGGAAAGGGGGTCCATGCAAGCGGGGGTCAGCCAGAGCGGTGGATCTTGCAGGATCCTGCGAAGGCAAGGGGTGCACTGACCCGGGCTTGCGTGCAAGATCTTGCAGGATCCTGCAGGATCTTGCAAAACCTGACTGACCTGGGTTTGAATTGACCTGGGTCAGTACGTGCCCGCTGCCGATTCGAACCGATCCGATGCGGAGATTGCGATTCGCGATTCCGATTTCGAGTCCGCTGGTGCTCACAAGGTGAACTTGTGAGCGTTGGTCGGCGATTACAGTGCGGCGGCGAGCCCGGGGGGGGCAGTGAGTGGGAGCAGGCCTTCTCAGATGGGGGCGGGGCTTCCCAGCAGCCCTCGCGCCACAGTCAACCCGCATAGTATGGACTGGCAACCTTCCCAATGGTACCCTTGCATCCTTGCCCCTTCGGCCCATCCATAGCGACTTTTGCTGGCCAGCCTCGTTCGAAAAACGTTCTCATGGCCCTCCAAGGCCCTTGCATCCTTACCGTGCATCCTTATGACACGGGTTGAATGTACATGATCCGATGCGTCTCGGTTCGCTGGCCAGGGCCGCGATTCCGGCTCGGCGCCAGGGCCCGGCTGTCCGACGCTGCGTTTTTTTTTTTTTTAATCTTTTCAGTCCAGACGATTCTCCTCGATGCGCTCCCTCGATGCGGCCTCGTCGGCGGCCCTGGGGAAGATGGACGCGGGGCGAGGAGGAGGAGGAGGAGGAGGAGGAGGAGGAGGAGGAGGAGGAGGAGGGAGGAGGAGGAGGGAGGAGGAGGAGGAGGAGGAGGAGGAGGAGGAGGAGGAGGAGGAGGAGGAGGGAGGGAGGAGGAGGAGGAGGAGGAGGAGGAGGAGGAGGATGAGGAGGAGGAGGAGGAGGAGGAGGGGAGGAGGAGGAGGAGGAGGAAGAGGAGGAGGAGGAGGGAGGAGGAGGAGGAGGAGGAGGAGGAGGGGAGGAGGAGGAGGAGGAGGAGGAGGAGGAGGAGGAGGAGCCAGGGAGGAGGAGGGCGCGTGGAACATTCACGCCGGGAGGTTTCCCGCTATATTCCAGGCCTCCGGGGGCCCTCGCCAGGCCTCGGGATTGCCGAAGATCGAGTCAGGACGAAGAACTCCTGGGGGCCAGGGGTGTAGACCTCTGGGGTCGACGTTGCGAAAAAATCTCGACGTCGGGTGTCTGGGTCTGCCCTCGCCCCGTTCACGGCCTTCCTGTCTGTATGCCCTCCTCTCGGCTCGTAATTCCGCCTATCTGTCCACCTTGCTCTCTCTCTCTCTCTCTGTCTCTCCCTCTCCTCTTCCTCTTTTGGCTCAGCGATCTCTTCGTGTGGGTCGTGTCGTCCTCGATGGCCGTTTCGGCAGATGGCTTCGGTTTAGGCCCAGCGCTCGCCGTGCTGCCTGGAAGGATGCAGCTTGCACCTGAGGCCGTGGAGGGCGCCCTCTGGGCCCGCTTCTATGCTTCTCTCACCACGGCCGGCGTGCTGGGGGCCCTGCTGGTGGGAACCGTGTGGGGCAGCCTCGGAGCCGGCGTGGTCCCGGCCTGCTGCGGCCTTGCCGTGGCGGTGTTGGCTCGGGGGCGGCCAAGGGGGGGTGCTGACAAGGGGGGGGGGGGGCGATCATGGGGTGGGCCACGATGATTCCTCGGATTTCATGGCGCCTCTTCTTCTTTCATTGCGTCCCTGGGTCCCCCCTCCTTGGCCGCGCACATGCCGCCAGGCATGATTTGCACCCCCCCTCTGTGACGCCCCCCTCTTGGCCGCCCCCGATTGGCGTGCATCGGATGTTGCCGTGACAGGCACGCCTGCCTAGACAAGTGTAACTGCTCGTGCGGGTGCGACGACTGCCTGGACCTGAAGGCTATCTGGCACGCCCGCAATATCATGTCCGTGTCTGGGATTTTCGCGTTTGCGTTTCTGTTTCCAAGTTTGTTCGTCAGCATTGCTCTGCTTACATCCGCTGGTACGTGCCCCGTCGGATACTGCTCCAACATGATGGCCGCTCAGAATTGTATGGATTGTTGGGATTCGGCTTGGGAGAGCCCCAGTTCAGAGTATAGGTGGGAGGACGGCCTTGCTGAGATATGCTGGTCGTCCTACCAGACGCAAGACCAGAGCGACATCCGACACGACCATGAGGCGTCGTGGAGTTGTACGCCCAGGGATTCACGGCAGCATAGTCCCCGCTCAGTCAAGGGCCCCTCGTCGCACGAGGAGTGCAGAGAATTGTGCCACTGCATGTCGGGCGTGTACGCAGAGGAGTGCGGCTCGCACGTCTTCGGGGCCGTGGGTCTCGCCAACGCGCTCGTGGCCCTCGGCTTCGCGGCCTCTGCCTGCACCGGGTGCGCTGCAGCGGGCAGGATCATCAGGCGGAGCGGCGGCCCCGTGGCAGCCTGGGGCCCCTCGCGAGTGGTCCCGGGCCCTGCGGTCGTCGCAGACGTTGTGGGGCGGCCCATCCTCCGCGGCGCCTCGCGGCGACCCGCCGCCCGCCCTTTCTGGCAGTCTGGCAGGGACGGGCGCGGCTCCGCCGTCGGAGGGGCCCGGCGTGTGCACCTTGCCGTTGGGTCGGCCGGCGGGCCGATGGAGGCGGCGAACAAAATTCGGTGCATGGATGAATGGATGCTCCAGCATCCCACAGGTTGGGAAGCTGGGGCGTCTACACACCGAGCCCCTCGGCCGACCAGACGGCCTGGTGTGTACCTCGAGCCCCTCCCAGTACGGAAGGGGGGGAGGCATCCTGTGAAGCAGCGTTGAAGGGGGATGGTTGCAAATGCAGATCGACAGTGTTTCAGGGCCAGGGGGCGTCTGCCCAAGAGGCAGTGCCAGGTGGCACCACGCGACAGTGAGGTTACCCTCAGAATGAGAAAAGCTCACTGCGCGACTGCGCGGTGCCCTCAGTACGAGACAGATTTTTAAGACGTGCCCGCCAATACACTTTGCTGCGAGCAAAGAGTCTTGGCGGATGGAGGAGGAGGAGGAGGAGGAGGAGGAGGAGGAGGAGGAGGACGGGGAGGGGGAGGACGAGGAGGATCCGCCCTGGGTCTCGAGACCACGCAGTAGGGTCCTCTTCGATCCGATCGGTCCGATCCGACATCGATCCTGGCTGGCCGATCCGACCCGATACTTCGACGATCTGGTGCGGCCCGAAATGCTCGCGCGGCGCTGCTTGTGCATCCAGGCGCGGCCGAGCTGGGCGATCCCACGACGACGCGCCCCGATCTGGCGAGCATTCTGACCCTGCAGTCGGACCGAGGTATAATATCGAGGTCTCGGCCTCCAGAGGCCGATATTCCCCGATCCGATGCCCATCGATCCTGCGCGGTGCCAACGTGCAGTAGGGGCCCTTGTGCGTTGCCGGCGACCCGGGATCGGCCGATGCTGAAAGGTTTGGCGTCTCGGAAGCGGCTATTCGTTGAAGGTCGAACGATCTCCGCAGTGCCAGGAGCCAACGGCACGACACGAACTTGCCGAAACGCCTGCTGTTGCGCCGCACTCTGGGCCCACGGATGCCAGACTTTTATCCGTTCCGCCGCTCTGGCCCCTCGTGATGTCAGGATGCGTCGATCGCCTAACGCCAGCTGGCGGGGTCAGCTCAGCAGCGCCACCTCTTGTCGGCACGAGGCCGACATCAGTCTGTGTTCGTTTTGAGCAGGGCTCGCTGTCGGTGTCGCCGCGGACCTTGTCAAGTCGAGGCAGAAATGTGAGTTTTTGATTGTTTGAAGGGATTGCTGGAGTGGCTCAACCAGGTTGGTGCAGGTCGAGCCTTTCAGTTCTTCATCTGGTCCGAAACGAGGCTCCTGAACTGGAGGTGCAACGCCTGACATACCCGGATGTACCGGGTGCTCTCGGATAGGATTGCCACTTGGTACTTAGTCGTTTCATTTTGACTTCGTCATGCGCCGTCAACCGAGTTCAAGTTGGACAAGTACCAGTGCCAGCCTATGCTTTTTATATCTTTTGATGTCGGACTCCTTCTGGGTCGGCCCGAGCCAACTGGTATGCGGTGAGTAGATCGCACCCCATCCCTAGACATCTTGATCGGTGTCGTCATCAATGTCATTACCAAGAGGCATGGGCATCCCCATTTCTTGGGCATCCCAATTCCAGGCCGAAGATATCGCACTTGAGACGGGACTCACGGAGAATTACGTGTGAGGTTTCGTGCCATGTTTTACACATCAATTGTAGCCTTCATCCACATTATGCATTTGTCATTGGCGCTGCAATTGCCTGCTGCCGAGGAAAGACTCCATGGCGTAACCGTCTGCAAAAAAAAGAAAAAGACCTGCAACTTATGATGTTCCAACCGACTGTAGCCTTGATCACCAGAAAGAATTTCGAGCGCCAGAAAAGTACCTAAACACTCTCGGGTCTTCACGTGCCGGGCCCTTGGAGACACTCGTCCGACACTGTTTCGACACTCTGTCGACACTCTGTCGACACTTTTCCGGGTGCTCGAAATTATTTCTGGGATGTGGTGTCCTGAAGTACGATGGGAGCAACATAACTTGCAACGGAGAGTTTGTATTGGGCCGCTCGTTGGATTGATGATTAGTGCTCTCAGCCTCGTCGTGGCTTGCAAAACTCTGCCCAGAGTTTCCTTCCTTGTTGCATCCAGGAGCAAAGTGCTGCCTCTCTCTGCTTCAGCATACGCTTCGTATTGAACGTTGGGAGTGCGAGAGCCTCCTTGAGGCCGCCTCCAACGGGAAGTCGTACCTGCTTCCCTCGTTGCTTTAACGACGAGGGTGCACAGTTGTGCGTTTGTGTTCATGGCCGCAATATCAATTTCGGACAGGCTGCCCAACCGCTGTTGCTGCTGCCTCCCGCCGTTTGTTGGTGTCGCGGCGTCGGAGTTTTCGTGGCGTCGCAGTACCGCGGTGTCGTGGCATGTGGCGAGGTGATGTCGCGGTGTCGGGGGTGTCGTGGTGTGGAGATGCGGTGTCGTGTCGCCGCGGTGAGGCCGAATCTAGCGCGAAGAGCACCAGCTAGAGCTAAAACGAAGCAGCGATAATGTAACAGGAATCGAACTGTAGGGGTATGCAGGTGACGGTAAGTGTGCAGGCATGGTTAAACATGTAGAGGCACACATACAGGCAGCGCTGAACGTGAACATAGAATTCTTGAGATGTGGGTCGCTCTTGGTGTCGTGCTGGGCCTTCCCTGGGTTCCTCTTTGGGCTCTCTTGGGTGCCCTTGGGCATCTCGAGGCCTCAGAGGCTCATCGGAAGCGAAATGGCGACGAGCACGACAGCAATGTGCAGCACCGTTTTTACCCTCTGCTTGCCTGAAGATCGGTGATTACGCCCCGCTTCCTGGCCAGTGCGCAGTCCCGGGCACACGCCGGGCCTGACCGGGCCCGGTGCGGGTGCCTCGTCGGTGTGCGTCCTTCGGCCTGGTGGCGAGGTCACGCCAGTTCCGCCCGTCCGCTTCGGCGATCGAGGCTGGGTCGGGTTTCCGGGCGCTTGCGTACTCAGATTCTCGGAGGTTCTCTCACCTCGCGATGCTATCCAGTAGCTGCGCCTCGTCAGGAGCCTTCCCGATCGTTCCGATCGGCCGCCGGAGGGGCCCGCGGGATGGCCGACCGCCGGAACTGGGGCACTCGGGCCGTGAGAACATCATGGCGCGAGACTCTTGCAAGCTTGGCCTCCGGGTGCCTTCGCCGGGCCCCTGGGCCGTCAGGGCGCCGCGCGGGATGCAGAGCCGGCTCTCAGGAAGGGGTCGAGACCTCTGGGGGTCCACGTCATGGAGGAAGCCATGACGTCGATGGCCTGGTTCGTCTCTCTGGCCCTGGCTTTTCCGCCTGCGCCTCCAGTGCCACCGTCCGTCGTCGTCTGCTGCCCGCAGCCTTCTCCTTCTCTCTTCCTCGCTGGGCAGTCGTGGCCGCTGGCGGCCGGTTCGCGCGATTTGTCCAGAGTCACGCCGTTCGCATGGGTGGATTGGGGGAGCGCCACTCCCATCGCCCGGGCTTCTTTCTACTCCCACCATGTCCGATGATGTGCAGGACGTGTTTTGGTCCACTGTGTGTGTGTGTGTGCGGACCTGTGCTGGTCCGACGTGTTTATGTGCGTAGACACAACGTCGGCGATGTAGGCAACGGCGATGTGGGCTTCGGTACTGTAAGCGTTGCGTGTGCTTTCCTGCAATTTGTTGTGAGGTCGGCGTCGCAGAAGCAAGGAGGAGGTGGAAGAGGAAGAGGAGGAGGAGGAGGAGGAGGAGGAGGAGGAGGAAGAGGGAGGAGGAGGAGGTGGAGGAGAGCTGCGCGATTCCCAGCACCGCCGTCCACCAACACCACCGTCAGCGTGGCCTGGGGCAGCGCCATGCGCCTCCCCGCTGTTTCTCCCCCTCGTCCTCGGGTGGTCCCCCTTCGCCCCCTCGCGGCGGCCTCCCGGCGAGTCGTATTGCGCGGCCCCCTGATTATCCAGGATCTGTTTCGGAGGAGGCACGGTAATTGCGAGCCCCTGACAATAGATGATACCCCCTTCCCCCCTGAGAGTTGATTCTCTCCGACCAAGACGGAGTTGGTCGGGGGAGAGTGGCAGCAAGGCCGAATTTCATTATCGCGGGGGAAACGTTCCAATCGAAATTGTTATCTTCTTATGTTGAGTTGCAACATCATCAAACACGTTTGGCATGGCAATGGGGTTCTCACCATCGTCGAGAGAGGTTTCCTGGCGATGAGCGCCAAGGATCAGAAGAGTCGGGCCAGCTTTAGACCTCTCACGAGAAAGACTGCGGGAAACATCCTCCTCGTCGTCGTCGTAGTCGTCGTTGACGTCGTCGTCTTCGTGGGACGACGACGACGATGACGACGACGACCTCTTCTTTCCTCGTCATACATCCCTCGTGCGATTTTCTGGGGCACATCGTTTATTATCCCCCCGAAACCCCGAACCTTATTATCCCCAGGGTGTTAGCCTCAGGGGCATAGGATTACCCATACCTCCACTATCCCCTCGTGTTCGCCTTTTTGGGCCTCCTGGGCCTCCGTCGTTTCCACTGTTGGATTCGCCTCGAAGTCTTGGTCCAAAAGCACCCCAGGAGAGGTTTGGGGAGTAGCGGTATCGTACGTGTCGGTGTCCCGATTTGTTTGAGAAAGCATGACCCCCCAGGGCGCCCCCCCGCCCCGAGTGCCATTCATTCGCCGACGAGGGACTGTGGTATAGTTGTTCCCCTGAATAATGGTTGTTGGACAAGGGACGCTGCCACACAGTCAACCCGCATGGTAAGGATGAACGATTTTCCATGGTTACCTTTGCGTCCTTCCCCTTCGGCCCATCCTTGACAGCTTTCGCTGGCCGCGCACCGCTTGCAAAGTATCGACATGGCCATCCGAGGCCATTGCATCCATATCGCGCATCCTTATTTCGCGGGTTGTGTGTGAATATATAGCTATATGTATGTATGTATGTATATATATATACATACATACGCATTTACGCAGTTATATACGCATGTATGGGTGCGTATATACACATATAACATACATAAACACACGCGTGTACATACACGAATAATCGGGGTGCAAGGTCGGGGGCATTCTCCCAGCTGCCACGGGGCGCCGTGGCTCCTTGGGAATCCCCAGGCGCGTTCTCTTCAGCGGCCCAAGTGCCGCCCCGACGGCCCGTCAGTGCTTGGTTCTTCCTACCCCCCAGGCGTTTCTGTTTCTGTTGCTGTTGTTGTGGTTGTTGCTGTTGCTGTTGTTGTTGCTGTTGCTGTTGCTGTTGTTGTGTTTGTTGTTGCCGTTATTGTTGCTGTTGTTGTTGTTGCTGTTGTTGTTGCTGTGGTTGTTGTTGTGTTTGGTTGTGTGGTTGTTGTTGGTGCTGGTGTTTGTGATGGCTAAAAAATCGTTTTGGGTTCTTGACAACCTAAGGACGCTACACCACTGCAGCTGCAAACGCCAACGAAGTTGTCGGGTTACCCACCCGCTGTCGGCTTACGTGTGCAGTGGGTGCTACACCTGGGAAACGTGTGGAGTACGAATGCACCAATTCATGTTGGGGCCCAGGGCGCAAGTGAACCAATTCGTTTCGGATGACCCACCCCCACCCTCTGGGGGGGGGGGGCACCTTCGCGGTGCGCGCTGCGCAGCGGAACCGTGTTGAGCACGAGTGCACCAGTCCTTATCGAGAATCAGAATGTTACATTCCTTGACAGTCTTCAGGTGACCCCCTCCACCAGTGGGTCACCTGTGCGGCGCGCGTTGCGCAAGGGAACCGTGTGGAGTTCGAAAGCACCAAGTCATGTTGAGGCCCAAGATACCAGTGACACATTCATGTGTTTGTTGCTTGTCTTTTGCTTCTGAGCCAGTTTTCATACGACCCACACGCTAGTGGGTCACCAGTGCGGCGCGCGCTATGCAGGGGAAGCACGTGGAGTACGCGTGCACCAACTCCTGTTCGGCCCCATAGTGCCAGTGAAACAACAGGTTGTTCTCAGCCACTGTTTGTGTTCCCCGCCCGCCGGTGGGTCACCTGTGCGGCGCGCGTTGCACAGGTGAAGCGGGTGGCGTACGAGTGCCCAAATTCATGTTGAGCCTCAAAATGCGGGTGAAACACTATTGCTTTTCTCAACCGCTTTCGGGTGACCCACCCACTGGTGGGTCAGCTGCGCGGTGCGCGCTGCAAGGGGGGAGCGTGCCGAGAGTACGACTGTATCACTTCTGTTGAGGCCCAACATCCCAGTGATCCAATTGGTTTTTCTCAGCCAGTTTTCGAGTGACCCACCCGCTGGTGTGTCACGTGTGCGGCGCGCGCTACGCAGCGGAAGCGTGTGGAGTTCGAATGCACGAACTCATGGTGATACCCAAGATGCTAGTGAAACGCTCGATTTGTCTCAACCATGACCACCCGCTGATGGGTCACCTGTGCGGCGCGCGCAGCACAGGGGAACCGTGTGGAGTACGAATTCATGTTGATACTCAGAATGCCAGTGATACATTAGGTTTTTCTCACCTAGCTTTTGGGTGACCCACCCGCTGGTGGGTCACCTGTGCGGTGCGCGCTACACCGGGTGATGCATGCGGAGCACGAGTGCGCCAACTCACGTTGTAGTCCATAGCGCCAGTGAAACATTTGGTTTTTATCAACCAGTTTTCGAGTGACCCACCCGAAAAACATTCAAGCAGTCTCAGCCAGTTTTCATGTGACCCACCCGCTGATGGGTCACTTGTGCAGTGTGCGCTACACAGGGTACGCACGTGGAACACGAATGCCCTAACTCATGTTGAGGCCTTGAATGCGAGTGAAACAGTTTGTTTTAGCCTTGCCAGCCTTGCCCAGCCGCAGGGCTAGGCTGGCGCCAGCACTTTCTCGGCACCAGTGAGGGTTTGCATGGAGTGGTCTCGATTCTCCATCACTCCAGGTCTCGAGGCGTGTCAGGTGCAGCGCTTTCGCGACCCGGGGAGGGTGCGCAGGGGGAATGTTCCCTTGAACACGGGGCGTGCCAGGGCGGTCGCGGGGACGTCCCCAGCGGTCCCGTTTGCCTTGCCATGTTTTTGTTTTTGTTGTTGCTTGTTTTTTGGCATCTGCGCACTACAGAGGTGGGAATCTTTACCTATGAAACCACCCTTCGAGTGAGAAGGAGGTTGTGGGGGTGGGGGGGAGAGGGGGGGAACCGCCATCTGACTCAATCGATCTCACTATCGATCTCACTCAACTCACTATCGGTATCTCTATCGATCTAATTATCGATGTCATTCAGCGGGACACCACGGGAAACCGCGGGACACCTCTCGATCTCACGATCGGTCTCTCTATATCGATCTCACTATCGATGTCACTCAACGGGACACCACGGGACACTTGTCGATCTCACTATCGGTCCCATTATCGATCTCACTCAACGGGACACCACGGGACACCGCGGGACACCTCTCGATCTCACTTTCGGCCTCACTATCGATCTCACTATCGATGTCACTCAACGGGACACCACGGGACACCTCGGGACGCCACATCGATTTCATTATAAATCTCATTGCCGATCTCACTCAACGGGACACCACGGGACACCGCGGGACACCTCTCGATCTCACGATCGGTCTCTCTATCGATCTCACTATTGATGTCACTCAACGGGACACCACGGGACACCTCAAGAGACCACATCGATTTCAATATCGATCTCACTATCGATCTCACTCAACGGGACACCACGGGACACTACAGAACACCACGGGACATTTGTCGATCTCATTATCGATCTCACGATCGATCTCACTCAACGGGACACCACGGGACACCACGGGACATCGCTGGACACCTCTCGATCTCACGATCGGCCGCTCTAGATAAAGAACGATCTCACTATCGATTTCACTCAACGGGACACCACGGGACAACGCGGGACACTTGTTGATCTCATTATCGATCTCATTGTCGATCTCTTTCAACGAGACACGGCGGGACACATCTCGATCTCACTATCGGTCTCACTATCGATCTCACTATCGATGTCACTCAACGGGACACCACGGGACACCGCGGGACAACTCTCGATCTCACGATCGGTCTCTCTATCGATCTTACGATCGATTTCACACCACGGGACACCGCGGGACACTTGTCGATCTCACTATCGGTCTCATTGTCGAGTTCACTCCACGGGACACCGCGGGACACCTCTCGATCTTACTATCGGTCTCACTATCGATCTCTTTATCGATGTCACTCAACGGGACACCACGGGACACCTCGGGACGCCACATCGATTTCATTATCGGTCTCACTATCGATCTCACTCAACGGGACACCACGGGACACTTTTCGATCTCACTATCGATCTCACTCAACGGGACACCACGGGACACCGCTAGGGCCATCGCCGGACGGAGGATATTCATTTTTCTTGATTTCGCCCTAGCAGCGGCGGACACCACGGGACACCACGGGACACCGCGGGACTTCGCTAGGGCCACCGCCGGACAGAAGAGAATCATTTGTCTTGACTTCGCCTTAGCAACGGCGGACACCACGGGACAGCACGGGACACCGTGGGACACCGCTAGGGCCACCGCCGGACGGACGGAGGATAATCATTTTTCTTGATTTCGCCTTAGCAACGACGGGTTCATTCTTCTCGCGCGCCCACGCAGCTTCGCCTCGCCCGCACGCACGACACGAACGAAACGAAACGATTTCCCCGGTGGGGGTCTCCGTTTCAGTGCGATTTCACCCCCAACCTCCGATGTTTGAACATTTCCCCTTTCCAGATTGCTTGTTTTTTGAGTTGTTTTAGAATGTTCAGGGAGGACCCGGCGCGCCCTGCTGTCTCTGAGCTGGGCCGCTCCCGCGCTTGTTTCTTCGGCTGGTAGCCTGACTTCACCGCATTGCAGCTGCGCGCATGGCCGCGGTGCCAAACTGTATGTGCATGTGTGTATTGCCCCGCGCAGCTCCGCTGATTGCACGCAGTCAGCGCAGGCCCTCTTTCAACCTTCTGCGCCGTATGCAAAGGGTTTGACTTTCTGAGGATCATCGGCATTACTCAGCGGAGGAAAATGTACCCGTACCCCTGCCCTTGGGCCGTTTTCCTTTTTGTTGGGCCTCCTGGGAGGCCTCGTCGCCAACGTTGGATTCGCTTCGAACCCCTGGTCAGAAAGCACCCTGGGAGAGGTCCGTGGAGTAGCGGTATTGGTACCTCTTGGTTTCCTTCTTTTTTCCGCGAGCACCATCCATCTCGCCAGTCGCGTCCACATCCCCGCTCGTGCCTGGCACCACCTCCGCTGGCGCGCCCGTGCGCGCGCCCAGGGATCATGGGGGCCGCCGCGCAGAAGCCCGTGGACCTGCGCGGCTTCCTTGACCAGAGCGGCGCTTTCGTGGAGAAGCAGTTGTCCGAGACATCCTCGGACATCGGTTGGCCCGAGTCCCAAAACTACGGCCGGACCGAGGTATAAGGTCGAGGTCGGTTCGGGGAGGGTGCCCTAAAGTTCTTCGTGTTTGTTGGATGTTCGTGTGCATCCTTGGGAGGGTGCCCTTGGATGGACGGAGGGACTCATGTTCTTGAGGGATGTTTTTCTGGCTTAGTTCTGTCTGCATGCGGTGACCACAAGGGTAGCCCTCGCCAGATGGCCGCACGGTTTGCTCTTTTGAGCCCGCTCCACCGCGTGAGGCTGCGAAGACAAAACAAGATGTGGCCAACATCGTGCGCACTGGTAAACAAGCGTGTGGCTATTCCGAATCTCCACCGACCCACCATGCGGTGTGGTCACCCCACCGTTAGCGGACCCCCGAGAGCCGGCGCTGGGAAGGGGAGGTGAGATGTGTGGGGGGTGAGGGCGGGATGGGGAGAGCAGGGAGGGGATGTGTCGGGTAGTGGAGGCAGGGGATGCGGAGGGAGGGCTGCGACGCGAGGGGGTACGAGAGGATGCGGGGCGGGAAGGGGAGTGTTGTTCGGGATCGGTCGGTTCTCCTGTGCAGGAGCAGGACCTTACCGGCATCGTCATGCCAGAGGCGGTGGGCTTGCGCGGGATCCTGTTACGCAGCAACCTTCCCATGGAGGAGAAGATGGGTCCACCAGGATTCACGCTTTCTGACATCGGGGCACGCCAAATGTATTGCCGACGCCGATCCAGGGGTGACCAATCGTGGTGCAGACGCCGTCCAGCTCAGCGATGAAGGCATATACAGTAGGTTATTGCCGGGCGGGGCTGGAACCGGGATACATGATTCCAGAGAGTTCTAGAACGCTCTCAATACGTTCCGGATCGCCCTGGAACGGCCGCGGCGCCCGATACATCTTCCAGAGCTGCTGGATTTCTGAGATTCCCGATGTTATCCCGCTGTCCCAGTCCGATTTTGTCCCCGTCCTGGTCTCGTCTTCTGTTGACGTCTCGGCTCGGCAGCAGCGTGAGCGCGGACATTCTAGATTGAAGACCTTCGACGGCATCCGGGGACCCCTGACAGTGGAGGTCGTTCCAGATGGACCGGATCGCGCGGCGACCCACACCGAGGCCTACGTACGCCGTCGTGGCAGGAACTTGCCGAATTCTGATCTTGGGTTCAGGGCAGGCATGGCCAAGGTCGTTGTAGTTGTATAGTTGGCGTCCTTCTGTGGAATCGAGGCGTGACCTCTGTTCCCCCGTCGTCTTTGTGGTCCTCCTCCGCCTTCTCTTTGAGGTCCTTTCTTCTTCCTCTCCTGTTTCTTTATGGGCGATTTGGTCCAATACCAGCTGCTCATGCGTGTGGCACCCCCTTGTGCTGGGTGCCCGTCGGTGGAGGATCCTATTCTCGCCACTGGATCGCGGGCGCTGGCCATTAGGCTTAAATCGGGCATGTCCCTCTACAGAATAGTAAAAACTAGTCTGGTGGCGATTGTTCGTGCTCTTCTGTCTATTGTTGTTGTTTTGCTATGGTTTATTGGTCTTCAAATCCGCCTGTAGCAGGACTTGCCCGACTGAGCACCAGGCGTTAGTGGGAGCGAGCGTCACCGCGTGCAGTTTTTGAAGGTGATGAATGACGAGGCAATTCATGAGGAGGAGGCGTTTTCCCTAGGGAATGGGACGGCCTTTGCTTCGGGAGGGCCTCTTTGGGGCGCCTCGGAATCTTGTTTCAAACGTCTTGGGGACTTATGGAGCCGTGTGGAGGCAATCTTCGGCGTTTTGGGGCGATCTCTCGTCGATTTGTAGCTCTCTTGGACCGTTCCAGGAACCCTTGCAACCTTTTTGGCCTGTTTTGGGGCCTCCTGAGGCTCCAAGTGTGCGGATGATGGATGCCCCCCCCCCCCCCCCCCCCCCCCCAGGCCCACGGGGGAGGGGGTTGGGGGAGGGGGGAGCATCACACACTCCGTGACCCCAAGGGGTCGGCGGATTTCCAGGAAGAGATGGGATACCATGTGTGGAAGGTGTGGTGGGGAAGATGAAAGTTCAGGAAACCGGGAACAATGTGCTGGGGCATCCTGGGATTCGTTTCTGTTTGTTTGTGTGTCCCCGGGCCCCTTCGAGGAAGGAAGCCCGCCCGGAATGAAAACGTCAGGCCCTTGGAGATCTCGACTCTCCTCTTCCGGACAACGCGGATCCCTTCGCCGCCCTCCCCTCTCGCGCCCGCTGCAGGGCTGTGCGGCCAGGCGCCGGCCAGGGTGATGGAGCCGATGCTCAGCAGCGGCTCCGTGCTCCACTCCCTCGGCAGGCGCTGCCTCGCGGCCGGCCGAGCGTGGCAGGCTGGGGGTGTCTCGTCAGAGGAGGAAAGGGCACCCATGCCTTTACCTCTTCCTCGTGTTCCCCCTCTTCGGCCTCCTGGGTGGTCCTCGTCGACAGCGCTTGAGTCGCCTCGAAATTCTTGACGCCTCGCGTATCCCAACCAGCCCATAGCGAGTTGAGACCATCATGGGAGAAGTCGGAGCAAAATGAGGGAAAGTCGTTCTCGTTCGCAGGAGGAGGAGGAGGAGGAGGAGGAGGAGGAGGAGGAGGGATCAGGGATCAGGCCGAGGCGCAACATCCGATTCGGTTGAGGGCTGGCGGGCAAGGGAAAAGGTGGAGGGCGCGGGATTCCCGCCGTCACGGTCCCGCAGCCCTCCGCACAGGCCGAGGGCCACTAGGGCACAGGCCGTGGTGGCAAGCAGCCCGACGGCACCAGCCGCTGCCTACCACCATGGCCTGCACCACCTAGCGGACCTCGCGACCCGCTTGAGCAGCTTCAATGCGCCAGGACTGCACTGAAGCCCTATCCGCAGGGCCTCGGCAGTCCGCCAAAAGGCCCCTCCACACTGGGGCCTCAATGGATGCACGGGCGCCGCAGCGGCGGCACAGCAAAAACTTGTCTGTGGCCTGCACGCAGTGGCCCCGATAACCGAAAGTTTCCAGAGCCTGCACGGGCAGGCCATCATACGTGAGCCCCAGCTCACGACAGGCGTTCGAGACAGCACCACTTCGCGCCCCAGGGAGGAGGCCGTTGTGACGCTCGGCTCTAACAGCTGAGAGGTACAAGTGGAGCGGCGTGGGCTCACACTTATTGCCAGGCTGCTCAAGTTTTGCTCGAGAGAGCGAAGCCTTCCACGTACACCTCACCCCCCCGTTCTCCGCCACCTCCAGGTCGTGAGAAAGGAGGGCGAGCTGAGGCACCGCCAAGGGGTTACGGCTGGGCCTCGCAGACATGGAAGAGGTATCAGCTTGAGACGCGACAAACTGAACGACATGATCCAGAAGTTGGCACGTTTTTTTTCGCATCCTTCAACTGCGCTTTAAAGTGGCGGTGGCGAGGTTCGCAATGGCATGCTGCTTCGCCCCCAGCTTAGCGAAGAAATCGGCCCGCATGTTGCCCAGATAGTCGAAAACCGCAGTGTCATCGGTTCGATTCAGGCTCGACGCGCACTCGCCAACCAAGAGGGAGTCGAAGTCTCCGCGGGCTGGGGTCCAGCGGACTCGGGGCCTCTCACTAGGCGGAGCTCCTGCTGGGCACAATTCAAACAAATCACGCCACATGCCCGCATGTTGTGTGCTACCTGTAGCCAGCTCGACAGACCAGCTCGATGCCTCTTGCGCCGCAGAAGTGTGATCACTGATAATCTCGACCCGTCTCGGGCCAAGGCGGACCGCCTGCAGCAACGCGTGCCTTTCGGCCCTGGGGGCGGTATGGATGGCCCCTGGAAGGGGCCCAAAACACGCCCGAATGGGCCAGCCCCCAGGACTGAGCTCGACCACTGCCCACCCTCAGCGGCAGGCTTCGGGTAGACCGTTCGAAAGACCAGAACCGTCGGTAAAAAGTTCTAAGCCCCACGGCATGATCGTGGCACCCCAGAACTGGGGATAATACTTGGCTGGGGCTGGAGCAATGCTGAGGGGAGGAGAGGAACGCCATGCGCCAACTCCAGAGTGTCGAAGTCGGGGGGGGGGGGGGGGGGGGGGGGGGGGGGGGGGGGGGGGGGGGGGGGATGCTTTTCGCGTTGTCCCGCAGCCAACTCACATGCTCAATCGCGTCGTCTGGAGACAGGGATGCCTCGGCTGAGTCATCACTGGGTTCTCAAACCCGTTAACTCAGACCACTGGTGACCGACAGCGCCGAGAGCATCGCGACCGAATTGGCACTTGGGACTGGCCGCGTAGCCATGCTGATGCTTCTTGGCTGGCGGCCAAAACTTCTCGCTGATCAGGCTTCTCAGGGCCGCTTGCCCAGGGGGGGTCTTTCAAAGCCAATATCCTCAATCGGAGCGCGCGCCCCCAGACGGGCCTATCGCCGCGAGCCTCGGGGATCGCCCCCAAAATCTGCCGCACTCGGGCATGGCTGATGCCCTCGCACAGACGCCGCTTGACCTCCCAGGGGCAAACGGCGAACAGAGAAATTATTTCACCCTGGTCAGTCCTGAGTTGATGGTGAGGAATCAAATCCCACCAAGTTCGTCGCAGCGATAGAATCACCGCCCCTATAGGTCCCTGGGCGCGACCCCAGCGAGGGCGATCACCCAAGCGAGCTCGAGCCGCCGCGCAGGCAACTCGCAAGTCAGAAACGGGCACTGTCCGATCCCAGGCCCGGCAGCAATATCTGAACACCAGCTTGGATCCGTGTGGGCATGCAAGAAACCAGTGGCGTGAGAAGCCCCACACGCCCCCGTAAGGCCCCCCAGCTGAGGCCCTGAGAGCTCCGAGCCGAGGCCCCGTGGCTTCCGCTGGGCACGAGGCCTGTGCGCCACAAGCCAGCAACCTTTGTGCCCGCAGACTTCTGGGGCACCTGGATGCGGTGCTTCCCCCTGACCAGCTCAGCTCGCCTCTTGGCTTCCACCTTTCGGAGAGCACGCCTGCCAAACCAATCATGACCGAGGTTTCGCGTGTGACCGTAGCGCCGCATCCCCATCAACTTGACCGACATTGGGCCACCTCACCTCGCTCAGGGTCGGGACGTGACAAGTGCTGAGAGACATCGCCCATTAAAGTTGTCGCCTGGACTGGGAATTTTTCATTCGCAAACTTAACTGGCTGCAGCAGCACTGCCATCGTAATAGAGGTAGCCGCCGAGCATCCAGCTACCATCCCTTGGAACGAAACAAGCGAGCCGAAACCATCAATCCTCCGAAGGGGCAAATCCACCCAAGGCGAAGCGGGATGCCGACCTGTCTAAATGTCTGAAACAGGACAGAGATCTCTATCATTTCGTAGCATTTCATCATGTCTAGCAAGAGGGCTACCGAGTGCCAGCCTCTGGCTCTGGCTACCTCGGCCAAAAGGTTCAAATCGAACGCCGAGTCCGATGCGCCTCTACCCTTCCCAGACCCCCAATGCTCCGGAGCACGACTCCCCGCCCCCCACTCATCGGTGACAGGGCGCCGAATGTGTCCCCAGACTTGCAGGATCGTGTCTAGAATAGATATTAGCCTGCGGCCGCTGCCGGGTTTTGGCAGCCTGACAAGCCTGCTCGCCGAGCGCTTGCTTGGCCAGGCGAGTGCCCCGTTTCACAGTGCAGAAGCAGCGGCGCTAGCGCGGCTAGCATTGCGTCAGAAAGGTACTGGAGCGCACGAGGATGGATTTTGCAACGGCCAACCGCCGTCTCCGGGGGAAATCGCGCAATCGCTTTCCTCAAATCGTCGGCCCCGAGCGGCGGCAGGCTCGCCCAATCCTTCGAATCGCTCGGCAGCTGCAAATCGTCGCAAGAGTGAGTGGCGCGCATCGCCGGCAAGCACGAAAGGTTGGATCCGATGCTCCTCGGTGAGCACCTCCTGGTTTCCACAGACCCTGGTCGAACGATGGGCAGCTTTGGCCCCGCCCAGGAACGCGCCCCTGACCCAGGACTTCCAGGCTTCCTCTTTGCTGGCCAAAAACACGGCCTCCTTTTCCTGGGCCAGGGACAAAACTCGCTCAATCAAATCGGGCGTAGACGGATCACCTGCCACATCCACTCCAGACCAGAAAAAAGTTTGAGGTCAGCTCGTCGAGGTGCGCGAACACCCAGTCGAGCCTCTGGATCCTTCCGAGAAAGGCCTCGGTGTCGATCAGAGCCTTGGCAACGCGCTTCCAACCTCCTCGGCTGCTCGCCCACGTCTGCGTCGAGGTTGGGAATGTACGACTCCAGCACGATGTGCACGCAACGCAGATGCCTGGCCCACCTGGCCGCTGCACTCCACGCTGCGTGCTCGCACGAGGGTCGAGGCTGTCGATGCTGCGGGGCTGCGCGGAGCTTCTTCCAACGAGCTTGGTGCTCTCCAGCTCTGCCCTCGTAACCGAGGCGACGGGGTCCAACGACATCATGTCGGCCCAGAAGCTCAGCCTCGAGACCCTAAATCGTTAAATCACAGGCATGTTGAGTATCATCATGAAATGTATTCCAATCCGGTGGAAACCACCCGCAACCAGGCTTGGCCAGCACGGGCAGAGATTTTGATTGATCAGACACCCGGCACCCGAAGACTGCGTCTTTGGCGTGAACTTGTAGCAGCACAGGCCTATGTGGCCAGATCGTCTCCGTTCCACCACTTCAATCATTCCAGAACGGTTAGCGAACCCCGCAGACATATTGAAGTAGTCAATCGTCGTTCCTGGTGCACTCTGCATACATGTGGGCGCAGACGGCGCCACCAGCACTCCTTCTATAGATGTCGCCCACGGCCGCCTCAGAGTGCGGTTCATATTGGAGCCAGCTGCAACATTCCACTCAGACCCAAGCGCTCGCAACCTAAGCAGATACTGAGCCAACGTCGTGAGCAATGTCATACTAGTTTGCTCCATCTCTTCGCTGACGTGGAGATATGCCCACGCTGCCGCGAAGCCTCCTTTGAACCAAGTGTGCACTAGCGCCGCAACATTTCTCTTGTCCAGCAGCGCTCCGTTGGCGTCAGCCAGCAAAGGCCCAGCCGTCACCTGCGCCCACTTCGGCGCAATCGCCGCCACGTCACCACTTGTGCCATGCCCGCGGTGGCCAGTCTCTTTGGCTGGGGCCCGCGCGCCGTGGTAGCCAACCGCACCCGTGCGGCCTTGAACTGATCCCATCTTCGCTGCCGTGACGTGATGCGCCTGTGCGCACATGATAGGCTGTTCATGTCCTAGCACAGGAGTATCGGTCTCGAACATCTCAGCAAGCGGGTTGAACGAAGTCGTGCTGACAGTAGCAATGCGCGTCATGATGCCGACTAAAGAGAACAAATCACACGTACATTCACTCAACGCCACCATCAAACTAAGCCGCCTCGTTCCGCTTCGCGAGCG